ACCTCTGCCGGTGACTTTGAACTACTTACTTCAGTTTGTCTGCTGTTTACAAGTAAGTCCGGCCGCCTCTGTCGTCTAGTGGCCAGAGTTCCTGGCTACAGATCCAGAGGTCCGGGTTCGATTGCCTGCGCTACCAGATTTTCTGAGAAGTAGTGGGTCTGGAATGTGGTCCACTCAGCCTCGTGAGGATAATTGAGGAGATACTTCAAGGAAATAGCGGCTCCGGTCTAGAAAAACCGAGATTAAGGGCCGTCGAGAACCGTTGCGCTGATCCGCAGAAGTTGGCACTAACTTCGCCGACAAGCGGCGGTCGCTCGGTCGGCATAGTTCGCTTGCGGACTACAGGCCAAGGAGTTTGTTTGTTTGTGTACAGGTAAGTCCATTTAATTTAAATACTTTTTGTAAACATCTTTACTCAGAAGTCTGTGCGAGGCACAAAGACTGAGTGGCGTAAGTTGATTTTTTTTCTACATTACGAGAAGATCTTCATGTTCTTTGAACTTCCCTTTAATGTTCTGATTTCGACATCAGACGGAAAATTACCGCCGTAAATAAGACATGTATTCCTGCGCAATCACTGAATTAGAATATATTGGACGCAACTTAAGACTCAACCGAGAAATGTTTCTTCATATACACAGTATGTAGGGTTTACAGTTACATGGTTTTGAGTCCGTTAAGATTGTGAGGAATATCAAACAGAGAAACAAACTCCGTGGCCTGTATTCCGCAAGCGAGCTATACCGACCGAGCGACTGCCGCTTGTCGGCGAAATTAGTGCAAACTTTTGCGGATAGAGGGTGTTTCGTGGTCAGGACAATGGATCCCCACGGCCGTTAATCTCGGTTTCTAGACCGGAGCCGCTGTTTCCTTGAGGTAGCTCCTCAATTATCCTCACGAGGCTGAGTGGACCTCGTTCCAGACCCACTACTTCTCAGAAAATCTGGTAGTGCGGGGAATCGAACCGGACCTCTGGATCTGTAGACAGGAACTGTGACCACTAGACCACAGAGGAATATCTGTGAGGAATATCTTGACTGGAAATTAATATGTTATAAATTCCTTGGAAGAATTAACAACTGTTGTTATGGACATTATTCTTCATGAAAATTGAATGTAACATCATGGCGGTCGACCGAAATAAATACTTATTTTATGGTTTGATAATTATAATTGGGAAATCATTTTAATTAGGTATATGTAATTTTTTCGATACTAGGTATCCAGTAAATTCGTTGAAACGGCAAGGATTATGACATATGTTCCAGAGGTGCAAAGTTCGAATCTTGGCCGCAACATCGGCTATCCTGACTCAGTCTTTCGTGGTTTTCCCCAGTCATTTCAGGCAGATGTGCGCATAGCAATTTAAATATTGCCATTAACGCTACTTTCCACATTATTTCCACTTAATTACTCACCATCAACAAATAATTCAACGCCATATATTCTTGAGTTACTAACGAACGCTTTAAACAAACAGCAGACAGGTATAACACGTGTTAAAATTTTGCGTTTACTACATGTATGTATCTGTTTGCCGGTCACGGTAGTCGAGCTGTCTAAGCCGGGATCGTGGGTTCGAATCCCACACAAGGCATGGATGTTTGGTGTGTGTGTTTGCGTTTATTCTGTGTTTATGTTGTCCTGTGATTATGTATAAGCCTTGCGACGAGCTGATCACCCGTCCAAGGATGTAAAAATTATCATGAAACTGAGAAATCCGTCCTATGCTCCAAATTGGGAGCAAGCGGAGATAAACAGTGTCTCTGTTTGGAACCTTAAAGTGTATGGCGACAGATGTAAAGGTTGTAAGAACTGATTGAATTAAACATAATTAATTTTTTTATGTGCTGTGTGTGTGTGGGATTCAATGCAGACTCGAACGGATCCCGTACTTTTTTGGCCCTGCGTTCAGGCGACCCGCAGTGCGAGGCAGGAACAGCTTCTGCTGAGAGTTTTATAATCTCGTCCTTGGTACATGCTGTTGATATGGTCAATGGCAGGATGGGCGTGGGGATAATATATCATCCGAGTTTTATTGTTATGAAATGCAGGATGTGTTGCTAAGAGGCAGTTAAAACCCATATTCAATATTCGTGCCCTTCTCTTTATATGCCCAGTTATTCCACGAATTTGTAAAAAATAAACAAAAGAAATCTTATTGGATTAGTCGCCATAAACGAGACAGTGGCCCAGACACCCATTTTTTATTGTCATTAAGGGTAACAACCACTTGATGAAATGTGGGCGATGATAAACATGAGGTCGCGCACTTGACCCCTCAAGATGATTAAAAAAACAGCTGAAACTACCAGACATCTTGTTTCTAAATACACTGGAATATTAAACCTGTGTGGTCTGTAATTTGAAAATACTTTCGGGACTCCTGCTCTATACTTTTCCACTATTTTCTTTGTTGTTGTTTCTTGGTTCATTTAATTGTGCTTTATCAATTGATTTGCTTATACCTGTAAATGAATTAGTGATTACGTGCGAAAAATATGAACGCTAAATTTGATTACGCTACCCCATCCTTTCTAGGAACCGGGATAGCGTAGTCGGTATAACTACTGGCTGGACGACCGAGGGGTCGGAGTACGAGTCCCGGTAGGTGCAAGAATTTTCCCTTCTCCGCGGCGTCCAGACCGATTCTGGGGACCACCCAACCTCCTATCCAATGGGTCCCGAGGTTACAGCGGCCAGGGCTTCAAGCTGACTACTCACTTCCAACTAGTTCCGATGTCAAGAAAATGTGGATCTATACATCCACTCCCCCATACGCCTTCATGGCGTAGTATTTAAATAGTTAAGCACAGGGACAACTTTATGCTTTTTACCTTTATCCCATTCTTTCAGATCCTTCTACCATTTCTTATAAAACAATATATAGCCTCACAGCTGATAAAAGTCACAAAATAAGTAAACAAAGAAAACACAGAAACTACTATCTTCTTGGGTGTGACATCGTTTAGTCCAGTAGAAGTTCACTAATAATTGAGAGGAACGTACTGTCTCCATCTTCAGGGTTGGAAAGTAAACCAAGCAAGCAACTGGCAAGATGCAAGTAGCAAGTAGTTTGTTTCCTTGTCTTATTTACGAGGAGGAGACAGTACATTCCTCCAAAATGTTGTAGAACTTCTACCAGACTGCATTGCGCCACATCCCAAAAGATTAAAGGTAAAAGTGTCCTTGGGCTCAAATAATTAATCACTAGGCCATGAAGACATATTGGGGAATGCATGTATAGTTCTGTGTTTTCTTGACCACATCACTAGTTTGAGGTGAGTGGTCAGCTTCATGCCCCAGAGCCGGTCTGGACAATGTGGCAATCTTTGACCCTAACAGGACTCAAACTCCAAACCTTCTTTCATCCAGCCTGTGGCCAGTTGCTATACTACCCCAGAAAATAGTATTCTAAATAGTCATTATTGTGAGAACCCCAAATCCAACATGAAAACAAGAATAATTTTGTGAGGTCGATGTGTTTGCGGTAAAGGTAAGGTAAAATTTTCCCTATACTTAATTAAGCATTATGATATTAAGATGAATGGGGAAGTGGGGTTTTAGTTCCACACATTCATAACCTAGTCCTCACACAGAATTTTATAAATTGCAGAATTTATAGCTACAAAAAATAAGTTCATATTGCATATTTATTTGCTTGTTAGATCTTTCTGAATGGAAAATATTTCTTAAAATATATATCCAGTTTTCTGTGTGCATTACACAATGAATCAGTGATGCTGATAATGGTAATTGAAATGAAGAATCTGTAGATGTTTTGTTTATTTGATTGTTTCTTGTTTTTCCAATGCAGAGATTTTGCAGCTTTGAATGAAAAGTGATAAAAGTAATGAAAGGTAACTTTGGATGGATAAGGGATACATAAGTCAAAGCCAATTTGATAATCCTAAGCCAAAATTGATCTAGAGAGAGTGAGAAAATCACCACTAAAGAAAATCTGACAAAGAAATTGAGTTTCAGTATCTTCTCAAGACAGGGTACAACAATTACAGGACAATATTCAATAATTAGGAGTTAACGTAGTTATGGTGAATGAATACATAAAATGTGAACTTATACCATAAGTAACTTTATCATTCAAACATTGAATACTCGAAAGTAAATATGTATTAAGTTGTCCCTGTTCTTATTTAATTAAGCACCTCGCAATGAAGACATATGGGGGAATGTAGGTACAGTTCCACCATTTTAGACCTCAGCATTAAATGGAAGTGAATGGTCAACTTTAATCTCCAGCCGCTTTACCCCAAAGAAAAAAACCACAGGATAGGAAACTGGGTAGGCCCCAGAGCTGGTCTGGACGCTATGGGTATGGAGAAAAGAAAAATCTTGCCCCTACCAGGAATCGAACCCCAGCCGTCTAGCCCATAGCCCAGTGCTATACTGACTGAGCTATCCTTATTTAAAAAATAAAGTATCATCCTAGATACAAACACAGTTAAATTAAATTAAATATTCAAATCTGTAGGATGTTTAAAAGTACCACATTCAGATACTACAAACATAATAAGTTTAATCTTTGTCATGTTTATCATCTATAAACATAGGTAATTTGAAGTAAGTGTATAAACTGTAGCCTCTATCATATCTAAAAGTAGTAAATTTTCAAGTACAAAGACAGGTGAATAAAAATGAGCCAGTCTGTTATCTTCGTTAAGACCGATCCTACTTCTATATTGACCATCTGTTACATATCTCCTAGGGGCCACGCCATGGCTCAAGCGGTTAGTCGCTGGCTTCCCACCGTGGCGGCCCAGGTTCGATCCCGGGTCTGGTCAAGTGGGATTTATGGTGGACAAAGTTGCACTGTGGCAGGTTTGGTCCAAGTACTTCAGTTTCCCCTGCCAATCTTCCATTCCACCAATTACTCCACAATCACCCTCACCTATCATCTGGGGCTGGTACAATAGACCAGAAGTGGCCATAGTACAAGGGACTTAGTCCCACCCCACTAGCAATAAAAAAATAATACATACCTCTTACAGCAGCTGACATCCCAGTCTCCAACTGAGCAAGAACCAGGAGTACTGTAAGTACCCACCACACACACCTCAATATAGATCTACTTTCTGCCATGGTTCATCTAAAACTAAATTAAAATTAAACACTTATGTTTGCACTTAAACAAAGTGAGGCACATGAAAATTGAGCAACATTGCAGTGAGACAGTCAGCAGTCAGCTGGTTGTGTCTGATCTTGTGTCGCACAGAGACAGGCAAGAGGGAGGTGGGGGAGATAGGATGGAGGAGGAAGGGGAGGGGTATGGTCACATGATAAAGTTGTAATGGAGGTAACACTCAAGTGTTATTGCAATATCTCCACAGAATTGAATAATGTTCCACTCAGTACTCATTACATTTGGCACTGATACATCTCCCAAATTATTCCAAACTACCTTGTTTGTAACTAATTCAGAGAGTAATTTTGAATTACATAATGAAAATTTTTACACACAGCATGTGTGATGACAAATGTTTGAGAACAGCAATGCAGGTTACCACATGGCTGTCATTCCAGGGATGTATGTCCGTACATTTGTTAGTCCGTTGGTTTCTAAGGTGTCTGCAGATGTGGTCTTTGTTGACCCTTATGGCCTCGGCCTATAGAGGCAAGATGTAGGACCCATTTTGAGATAAGGACACCCACTGCTTTTTTTTTTTCCAGCTGGTATGTGGCAGTACACATACCTGAAATTGACTGATGTGTAGTGGTAAATATTCCACTCATACCTGTGCTGATGCATTACAATTATTGACTTCTTCAACGTTATCCTTCATTCTGTTGTTATTTAAAACAACGTTTCAGAGACTGGACTCTGCCTCCAACCTCATGTAAAAGATCTAATCAACTAGGCCCAGTTGATAAAGCTAGTCCCTATCTCTGGACACTAGAACGAACACAAGGCTTGATATATAAACCAAACACAACATATACCATCTGCAGGAGTTACAATAAAAATCTTAAAAACCCATATGCATGAGGCCTTGCACCTTTGGCCATGCATAATATAATGGCCAGAACCAATAATGCAGCAATACTGATGCATTGTATGTTTTGACCTTCAGGCCAAACCAAGCAAAAGTTTACTAGAAAATATTCTTTTAGAAAAAAAAATTACATTGGAAACTCCCACAAAGCAGATTCAGCCACCCCTAATGACTGGGTAACAGGATCAGAACAGTGGATCTACAGCTTCATATCAGCTATGAATCACAGTGATGACTTGATATTCTTCACATTACCAAAGTTTTGTCTTTAGTAAGGGTGAAGTTTTGAATCTGTGAACAGAAAGATCTGTACATCTGATCAGGAAGTAAATTCAGGGAATGAGAGTCCAGTTTCATTTTGGGACAGTATAGACAGAAGGTCCTAGTAAGGTTGTTTCCCAAGATTTTATCTTGAAAAGCTTCTTTTTTTTTCCTTGGCACTACAGCCCCAGTGGGCCTAGGCCTACCTCCATGAACTTCTCCGTTCACTTCAGTTTTTCTAGATCTTAGACATTTGGTAGGACTCCTTGGGCGGGTGATCAACTCATCGCAAGGCCTCTACCTGTACACAAACACAGAAAAACGCACACAAACATCCATGCCCTGAGTGGAATTCGAACCCACGATCCCGGCTCCCGAGCGAGCGAAGACAGTGCACGCCTTAGACCGCTCGGCTACCGTGACCGGCCTTGAAAAGCTTACTGTGAGGAATTATTAATAAATTATCTGATGGATGTATCAAGACCTAATAATTATGTTGACACTATGGTTACTTGAGTTATCTGTGTACCAAATTAATGTATCTATTCAACATATAAGATTCAAAGCTTTCCTCATGACCAGGAGCTCACTTTTATAAGATATCACTGAACATGCTGGTAATCATAGGAACAACAGGACCACAACTGGTATACAGATCAGAATTATAACAATACAAGAAAGATGAAACCAATCTGTAATATACATATACTTTCAAAATGTGTTGTTTACAATTTTGCGTCTTGCAGTAAAGTTGATGTTAATTTATATTACACTGAAGTCATAAATTCCATTGTTCATAAGGCAATAAACAATACAGAAACAACACTGAATAAAAGCATACATTATTTTACCTCGTACTTCATTAAATATACACCAAATCAAAGAATATTTTAAATAAAAGACATAGATCTTAAAAAGACACACAGACATCATCATCGATAAAACAGCCCTTTTCTAGCCTTAGCCTTGTTCAGAAAATTCTGCTGGACTGCAACCAGCTTTCACTTCTTTGGATTTCACTAAACCTGGTGGACCAGGCCCCTGTATTTATGTCCCCCAGTGAAAGGGTGCCCCATTTATACCCCCACGGACTGGGATCCCTTTTCATCATCTTCTGTGACTTGCAAAGCTATTGTGGAGGTATTCTAACCCATCTCCACATACACACACACAATACTTTATGTAATAATCCAATATCTTGCACAGTGATCCGTATTTTGACTCGAGGTCCATGTAAAGTATAGGTGTTAATGGACCAATATAGACCGTAATAAAATTTGCCTAACAGTGCACAGCTGAATCCATCCCATATCAAATTTCATCAAAATCAGTTGCATAGTTTCAGGGATTAAACATACAGATGAATGGACATATGGACCTTCCAGATGCATACAGATGCATTACAGAACCTATATTTCCAGAAATAATGCAGTCTTATCTTTGAATTACTTCCAGTGACAGCCACATAAATTACTGCAATTTTGATATGCCTCCCATGTTTCATACATAGCATCTACTGATAACTCAGCTCTGTTACAGGCTTTTGGGTTACAGGTGCCATCACACGCCCAAGTACAAGAAATCTTGTCACCGCTGTATCTCAGAGGATTGACACCAGCTAACCATATGCCTAAAGCAACATCCTCACCTTGGAAATCCTGATAAAGGAAATTATATGCATTGTTTCCTAGGAACTGAACCAGATCTTTACTAAGCACATAACCTGCACCACATGGAAACGGAGGATAAGTCTCTGAACAATAGTTATCCTCTCGCCACTTTCCAAATGAATGGACGGGCCAACCTTCACGAAATGAACTCCACCAACGGAGATATAATTTGGTCTCTGGGTGAGTGAAAGTTTCCTCTGACTGCTCCTGCCTGGCCACCTTCAAAGTCCTCAATACTTCACCAATGTTAACAAATGTGTCATCATCTGTTTTCAGTAAGTATGAGAATTCTTCATTCAAGTGTGCCCTAATAAACAGAGACAGTAGTAATTAACAGTTAATCACCAAAATTAATAACTTAAAGATGTAGAAATGACATTACATTTTTAATGAACTTCATTTTGCTTCATGGAACCATAAAATCACACTCTGGCATGAACCTACTCTTACACTTATTTGGATTATTAAAGGATAAATTCTGAGAAGAATGTATACTTTAATAATCCAAATAAGTGTAAGAAAACCGAAATTAACGGCTGTGGGGATTCATTTCGCTGACCACGTGACACCCTCTATCTGCTAAATTTTGCACTGATTTCGCCGACAAGCAGCAGTCACTCGATCAGTATAGTTCGCTTGCGGACTCAAGCCATGGAGTTTAGTTTTTTTATATATATAAATTCTAAGATTTGAGGTCTTCACAGACCAAGATTATGGTCATCTGGGATCTGACAAACATTCACATTCTGCTAACCATAAGATGAAGTCAGCAGAAAAAAATCTTATAGTGAGTTATTTAATGGCATTTTCAGTATTGATACTGTACAGCGTCAAATGCTAGGATAAAAGACGAACTGAAATGGATCTGGAAGCAGTTTTGGCCTGATTGAGGCACCATTCCAGCATTTGTCTGGAGGGACTACAGAAAACCATGGAAGACCTCAATCAGGATATCTAGTGTTGCAGTTGCGATTTGAACCAAGCATTTCCCAAATACAAGTATATGTTCAGTCAAAACTGATGATATAAAAAATTACAGTAACTATTAATGCCTGCTAACTTCCTATGGAACATACAACAATTTGACAGTAAACAGTATCATTCAAAGGATATATAAGGCTGGATTTTAAAATATTCAAGTAGGTAACAACCATAACTCACCATTTAAAGAAATGTAGAAGTTTCCGTGGCAAGTTTCTATAAATATCAACAACATCAAGGAATAGAATATCTTTTTTTTCTTCTGATTCTTTTAGGAGTTTATTCTTCAGTAATTTTATTTCATTTTCCCAAGATTTTCTGCGATCACTTCTTTTCGCAACATGCAATTGAAGTTCTCCTCTTTCTGAAACACGTTGCACTAAATAAACCTATGTATTCATGGATAGTGAACAGAAATTTCCTCTGCAATTTATGTACCTTCATTCCTGACAACTACCCATGATAAGTCTCTTAATTAGCAGAGTCAAGACAAGACATGTTATTCATCACTGAAATATTAATACAAGTAGGGACAGGAGAAGGGACAATATTACTAAATGACTTGCTTCACAATTTCTATTCTTCACCTTCTATTACTCATGTTAGAGGGATTAAATCAAGAAGGATAGGATGGGTGGGGCATGTATCATATATAGAGAGGCAGATATTTATAAAATGGTGGCTGGAAAACATCATGGGAAGGGATAACCTGGAAAACCATAACATAGATGGAGGTTAATATTAAAATAGATATTGTAGCATGCAGAGACCCGTTGCTAGGGGTACAGAAAAGTATAAAATCTCTTGAAAGTTTATCATAGTATATTACCATGAAGAGTGAATGTCAGACAGGCATGTATACAGGACATTTCATGGAAAGGCACTGGCTTCCCATTTACATCTCTGATAAGCTGCAGAAATGTGATTAATCCACTTCCATTATTCCATTGCAGCCAGCATTCTGAGTGGTCCAGACTAATATTTCCCGATTTGTTGCCAATCAGTTCCACAATAACCTGTCCCTCAAAACCTTTAGGCAATATGTATGGCTCAACGGTCTTCTCTAGCAGGTCAGAGCCAGAATTATTCTCATTATTTGAGAAAGTTGCTGAAACTATTTTCTCTCTAGTGACAGCATTCAGCAAACTCACTTGGACAAAGCCATCAGTTACAGTCACATAGTCTCTCAGTAAGTTCATACTGCGTATAACTATAGGATAATGAACTAGAAATGTAACCCCAACATAACTTGGAAAAATTCTCATCTTTACTGCATCAACTTCACCTGTTGAAAATTCTGAATACTCTTTCATATCTGGAAATAACAACAAAAAGTGTGATGAAATTATGATCAAAATTTACATCACTTAATTTCATTAATCAGCAAAATAACATGAAAAATTATGCAAAGTAAGGACAAGGGTAGACCAGCTAAGCCATTTAACTACAATTAATATAAGGGGGTGGAAGAAAGTTGGAGTAACAACATGGCAACTGAAGCACCAGCATGAGGTATTACAGTGACTTGGAAACAAGACTGTAAGATCCCCCCCCCCTTATTTTTAACACAAAATCAAGAGTATCACAGCAATTAATGAATGGTAATTTTTACCAGGATTTGAAATGGGAGTAGACAAAGGCAGACATTGTGTGCTTAGGTCCAGAGTACTTACTTTAACAAAGCTAATTACGATTTCTTAAGACACTATAACTACTGTTCCCAACAGTGATACATGTAGGCACAAATTACTGAAAATGCGCTGTAATAATTTCCTCTATAACATTCTTTGGTCATTTCCATGGGTCCTCTACTCATCTGGAGAATCCACCTAGTTCAGAAGAGCCATTCTCTTCACTGGTTTTACAGCACTAACTAACCAACATGTAACTGTCCCTTTCCTCGTTCTTCCATGCTACATTTTCACATTATATTATTCTATTTAATGGATAAATTAGAATAATTTTTCATCAACTGTAATGAAAGAAGACAACTACCCACCTACTGTCCATTCTATACAAGCTTCTTTATATATTCTGTCTTCAGGAGGGACATTACAAATTTTTTTACCAACAAGAAAAAAATACTTCACATTCTCTTGCTCTGTAAGATAAAGCCAAGTGTCCCGAATGCTTTGTCTTGCTTCAAAGTTATTCTGAGAAGACATAATACCAATCAGAAGAAGGAGTTTGTTCTTTTTAATTGCAGCATCTAAAACACAAATAAATTCTCATATGTATGAAGTTATTTTCTTTTGTATTTTAATTGTTGATATACATCTTCATTTCCTCCCTCAACCTCTTTATGGCCCAATAAAAGAAAGACACTGACATGTAGAAATTCAGGTGGTCTGTTGCTCGATGCTTGATATGACCATTCACATCTCTACTGAGATGAGCTAATCTCCATCTAGTTTCAGAAACACTGTGTTCATTCTGAATAACAGACAATAGACATAATCCAGAAAGTAAGTTATGCAATATGTATTTTCCTTATGTTTGAATTCTGGTTGCCGCATGCAAAAGTGGCATGTAAATTAATAATACCTTGGGTCACATAAAAGCTGTTTCGAACCAATACAAATGATATTATTCCTGCGACAAAACTCAGGAATAAAAACTGCCTCATTTCCTTCGCACCCGGTATCTATATGAAAGGGAATTTACAACTCCCACTTGAATTAGTACGAATACGCGTTCTTAATGAAAAGGGTTTGAGACCGGTCTAGAAACAAAAACTTTCTCTTTATATCGTGACCACTCTGCGTTTCCATACATTCTGATTCCTCAACAGTTATTGTAAGATAGGTTATATTGTTCTTCATGCGGAGCTACTCGGCAGCCATGCTGCTAAACTACTTGGTTTGACAGGTAGACCAATAGACGTATGTATTAAAAAATCACTAAGGATGAAGTAAGTGACACAGGTCATCATTCTCTTAATGGCAAAATTGTAAAAACTTGGGAACAACTTTGAAATTTGAGAACGTTTTTGTGATATTGAGATTTTATGCTATACAAATTTTGTCGTGTTTGATGTATAGTGTGGTAATACTTATTACATCAGTGCAGGCAATTCGTAGCAGTAGTAGCAATTTACCAGTGCTAGAAAATGTGTACTTAGTAGAGAAACGTAGTGTTACATGGATCATAATGACGTGTGGAAGACATTCAAATGATTTTCAGCATTGTTGATTTTGTACTGTGTATACGTATGCATTGCTTTAAAGTTTAGTTCAAATTATCAAAATGTGGTTTCCTGTTCTTGTGAATAGTGTTGTGTCAGTAGTGGCATATCTAGTTACTCTAAGAATTATCCCACGATTTAAAGACATGTTTGTTAAAGCGAATCTCTATGGCATAGATATGAGTAAGAGTAGAAAAGAAAAAATGTAAGTATTCTATAAGGACCAGCGTTTAACCATTCCTTAATTCGGGCTTTATTTAGTTTCTAACCCTAACATAGTTATTCTGTCACAGCCAAACTATTGTGTTTACAGTTCTGGAAGGCCCAGGGCAATAAAAATGTGAAGGTCCCTATCTGTAGCAACTAATTAATGTTATAATTCCTTGTTATATAACGAAAAAATACAATCCTTGTGTGTGTGATTTTAGAAAATGCAGACCCAATAAAGTCTGTGGATTCTGTTTCCGTTTTATGGAGGTTCTGGCGCCACCACTTTGGCCGCTCTTCCATAAATCGAGCCGCGTAGCCTTGTAACCTTTTAATTCGGGTTTGATGTGTGATTACTTGTCAAAAACAAATCCAGCGTATGCAGACTAACCAGTCACAATATTGTAAAGTTATATTTTTTACATTTAAATTTAAGTGTTAATTTCTAAGTTGGTAACTTATCATAATTGGATATGATTTATATATTTCTTGCAGACCTGAAGCTTTAGGAGTTGTAACAGGGTGTGTTTTCTTAATCACACTTTTCATATTTATTCCGGTTCCATTCAGTCAGTCCATACTGAAGAATGCAGATTTTCCACATGATGAGGTATGTTTTTAAGTACGCAATATGACTGGGAGTCACTATTACAGCAGTCTTATATTGGATTTATCCCCCTTTTGTTCTGCTTCAAAAGCCACATTATATTATATGTACATTGTTATAAAAGATAAAATAACTCCGTCGAGTGTGACTGATAAAATTTTATTACTTCAGTTCTTAACACCCTTACATGTTTCAGTCCTTATAGACCATCACACTCAACGGAGTCGTTTTATCTTTTATAATATTGTTGGTGTGACAGACCAGAATGAAACAAATCAAATGTACATCGTGTTTAAATTGTCAGATGGGTAAATAATGTAGAATAGGTCTTTGGACCTTCACTGTGCTTACAAGTCTGACTCGTTATTGTACACAGTGGGTTAACAAATTAGTCTCTTAAATTTAATGTCACACTAAGTCATGAGGATGGGCCATGCCATAGCTCAAGCAGCAGCCCGGGTTCGATCCCAGGTCTGGTCAAGTGGGATTTGTGGTGGACAAAGTGGCACTGGGGGAGGTTTTCTCAGAGTACTTCAGTTTCACCTGCCAATCTTCATTCCACCAAATCCTCCATCATCATAATCACCCGGGGCAGGTACAATAGGCCAATCAGTGGTCGCTGTGCTGAGTGGACCCAGCTGGACTCCACCCTCCACTAAGACATGAGGATTTGGTGGGCGGATTTTTTATCTAATCATTCTAGGGTTGTTAATTGTTTTATGATATTAGTTTCTGCTTTCAGTAATGAGCATCTCTCAATTTATGATATATGATATTCCTGTTTTCTTTGAACTTCACCCATACATTGATATTATTCTCCAGTAAGAGATAATATGTAATCATAGGTTTCATGTTAACTTCACAGAATGTCAATCATAATTCCAAACACCCTGGAGTATACTGCAATGTATGGTGCTTAGCATCAAGTAGGGAGTATAATGTAATCCTACAACAGTATATTTGTTGAATTTAGCTCTTTTATTTGCTAGTGTTTTTTTCTTCTCTGTAAGTTGGCACAGGGGAAGATTTGTCTTGAGTATATGAGTCATTACAGTAAGTCTTGGCTTCTAACATATTAAGAGAAGAAATTCAAATGGTGGTCACATTGTCTGCCTGAACGTATAGGTCATACTTGTGTTTCCTTTTGTTTCAGTTTGTTGAGCTGGTATCAGCTCTCCTGTCTATATGCTGCATGCTTCTCCTGGGTTTTGCAGATGATGTTCTAGACTTAAGATGGAGGCACAAGCTCTTATTACCCACCATATCATCTCTTCCACTCTTGATGGTCTATTATGTTAATTTCAATTCAACAACCATTATAGTTCCTAAACCTTTCAGGCAATTGTTTGGATTTTCTATTAATTTAGGTGAGTTATATGTTGCAATTGTCTGATCAAAGGTAAAGGGGGTAAAATTTTGTCTGTGCTTCATTACTCACCATGCTCTAGAGATGTATGGGAGATTGCATGTATAGCTCCATGCAACCTTGGCAATAAATTAAGGTGAATTGCAAGGTTCAACCCCAGTTGCTTCGCTACTGATAAAAGAGCCCCTGGTATCCATTAAATAGGATGGTCTCCAAAGGTGATCTGGACACTGGAGAAGATATAAATTTCTTGTCCATGCTGGGAATATAACCCCAGTTATCCAGCCTGTACCTAGTCTAGTCACTGTATTGACTGAGCAAGAAACAGAAGTCAGATCTGGGTAGGACTGCTGGATATAGATCCTTGAAGCTTCTCTTCTCTGCCTTCATTAAACAGAACTTGGGTGAGCTATACATATTTGATACAAGCAATATTATTTATGTAATATTTGAGGTTTTTACAGCGGTGACTATGAAGAAAGCCGTCTTCTGGGATGTGGCACCGTGTAAATATTGTGTTAACTGACGTTTTGGAGGAACGTATCGCCTCCTTCTTCAGGGTAGAAGACGAAGAAATCCATGAGCGAACCAACAGAGCAGGTGTCACAGACTGAGTCCTGTCGAGTAAACACAGCTGTATAAGAGAAGGAGTATGGCTACATAGGGAAATAGTAGAGAGGAGGAGGGGAAGGGTCTGTGGAGGTGATCCGTGACTTGGAGTTACTGACTGGTCTCAGTCTGTGGCACCTGCTCTGCTGGTTCGCTTGTGGATTTCTTCTTGTCTTCTACCCTGAAGTTGGAGTCAATACGTTCCTCCAGAACGTCAGTTAACACAATTTCTACACGGCGCCACACCCCAGAAGACAGCTTTCTTCAATATTATTTATGTTTAATTTTCATAAGCATATAATCAGTTTGTTTGGTTTTGGTCCCTAGGAATTCTGTATTATGTGTACATGGGTATGCTGGCTGTGTTCTGTACCAATGCGATCAATATATTAGCAGGAGTAAATGGATTGGAAGTTGGTCAGTCTGTTATAATTGCTGCATCCATCATCGTATTTAATATTATTGAGTTGGGTGGTGATCTTTGGAAAGCACACCTGTTTTCCCTGTACTTCATGTTGCCATACATCGCCACATCCATTGCGTTATTGCAACATAACTGGTAAGTACTATCCACTACTTTGGCCTATAAGACAGTGTCTTGCATGTGATCCACAAGCTGTTCTGTGAACTCTCTCTCAGTGATCCATAGAGAGTCAGGGAAATCTTAGCATTTTGACAGTATTTTTGACCAGTTAAATGATGTCATGGAACTGAGTCCTTGAGAAACTGATCATCTCTATGCTGGGCAAGAAATTCATATAAGTATATTCTAAAAGGTTCTGACAGTGGTGGATAACACACAATCACTGGGATTTTGGACTTTTTCCATTGTCCAGCGAAGCCTTTGGAGATGATGCCCTGATATTTGCATCTCATGAGGAAAGTTATGTGGTTGAGTGTCTCGGCAAGCTGGATTTTCCAGCGTCCCAATTTTCTAAAGGAAGGGTATATATCGGGTCCATACTGGTTGTGCAAGTAGATTCTAAAGGGTTCTAACAATGGTGGATAACACACAGAATTACTGGGTTTGTTTTTCCATTGTCGATGGAAAAAGTCCAAAAACCCAGTAATTCTGTAAGAAATTCATGTTTTAAGAAATTTGAAGGTTCATTACAGGTTCACAAGAGCTCACTACTAGACTTTATCCTGAGCTAGCTGAATTGCGCTTACACCTTCACATTCATTTCCTTTAATATCTGTTTGAATATTAACTTGCCATTTATGCTTTGGTCTTCCAAGACGTGTTTTTCGTTTAGGTTTTTCCAACTAAGATTTTCCTTGTATAGTGCATTTCCTCCAGCATACTGTATGTCCTGCCTGTCTCATCTGCCTTGAATTAATTTCCCTAATAATATTTGATCAAGAGAGTGAATTATTAAAGCAGTCCCATGATCCTGTTATTTCCTATCTTGACTCAGCATTTTGTTCTCAAACATATTCTGTTTATTGTTTTTACATTATGGTGGGAGATGAAGTTCCAGAGACATAAAGCAAAGGCAGTTGTAGTTCTTGATATTTAAATCTTCATGTTTTTATGTAGGAAACAAAAGCTGAAACATTTTGAACTCACTGATGGCAAGAATTTCTACAATTTAATATTTAACTTTCTCATAAATGTAATAATACTGATTTGTTACTGCTGTTCACAAATATTTGAACTTCCCATAGTTGTGAAGGTTTAGTACATGTAGTAAGGTAAAGGTGTCCCTATGCTTAATTAATTAAGCACTATGCCATGAAGGTGTATGAGGCAGTGGATGTATAGGTCCACATTTTCTTGACCTCGGCACTAGTTGGAGGCGAGTTGAAGGTTTAGTAATTACTTTTATATTATAGTTCTGTCCTGCACCCTGGTGATAAAATGTGAATAAATACATAGTTCTCTAATTACTTCAAGATTAACTTCCATACCAGCATTAATAGAGTTCTTTTATATTTGTCCTTAATGTGAACACATCATCATAAATTATAAGTTCATATGTGTACTTCCTTTCATTCCCTTCTGTTTTCTTGGCTGATAGTATTCGTAAACATACAGAAAGTATGGTAAAGCTGTGAATCAAAGCGCCAACAGCAACCATGTCATATCATGTAAGATTTGAGGTTTTCACGGCGGTGACTATGAAGAAAGCCGTCTTCTGGGCTGTGACACCGTGTAGAAATTGTGTTAACTGACGTTTCGGAGGAACGTATCACCTCCATCTTCAGGGTAGAAGACAAGAAATCCACAAGCAAACCAGCAGAGCAGGTGCAACAGACTGAGTCCAGGCAAGTAAACACAGCTGTATATAAGACAAGGAGTGTGGCTACATAGGGAAATAGTAGAGAGGGGGAGGGGAAGGGTCTGGTGGAATAGCCAGCAGGTAGTGGGCCAGAGCTGGTACAGAGTATGTGTTAGGGGGAGAGAAAGGATGGTTAAATGGAGGGCATTAACCCTGTAGCTCAGGGGCTGCGATGGACCTGAATGACCTATAGGGTCTGTTGTATTTCAGAGGTTACTTGAGGGAACAATGAGAGGCTTCCATGACTTGCTGAGACAAAACCCCACCTCTCTGTTCATATTGTCAGGATGGAGTTCAATCTCAATGGCCTCCCTAATGTGATTCATATAATGGGTCTTCTAGCGAGGATGGAGGTATTCTGAAGCTGAATGCGGTGTCCCAAATCGATGCTGTGTTCAGCCACAGCTGACTTGTCTGGATGTTCAAAACAGATGTGCTGCTGATGTTCCCTCAACCTTGTGTCCACAGAACGGCCTCTCTGCTCAATATAGACCTTGCCGCACTCGCATGGGATACTGTATACACTCGGTGTCCTTAGTCTCAGGCTATCTTTCACTGGCCAGAGGAAACGTCGGTTAGCACAATTTCTACGCAGCGCCACATCCCAGAAGACTGCTTTCTTCATGTCATATCATATTTTCCTGTTTGCTGTCATGTCCACTGTTCCCCAAAGAAACCTTGAATGGGGGTTACACTACAGATGAACCTCAGATTTGAAAGGGTTGAACTATAGTTTACCTTTGTGAGCAAGCATTTACAATTATGTTACCATTTTTAGTAGTGAAATATGCCTCATGGATGTTCTTATTCCAGGAGCGAATTTTCTAAAAGTGAAAAGAAACCATTCTCTAGATACAAAGCATGATGAATTAATATCATTTAGCATTTAAGGCTCACAGCAGTGGTTATAAAGAGTACTATCTTCTGGTGTATAATGCTGTGTAGTCTGTTGAAAATCAACCGACGTATCAGAGGAACATATCACCTCCTTTTTCAGGGTTGAACAAGCCGAGCAAGGTGCCAATGTGAAAGCAGGTGGCAAGCCAAGCTGCTCAGCTTCAATGGGCTAAACAGTGTTATACCCCAGAAGATAATACTTTTCAATTAATATCATATATTTGAACCTGTTTTAGGGTAATTTTCATAGAATGTACTTATGACAAGAAATATATTTGTTCTTCAATGTGATGGCAGATTTTGAGGAAAAGATCCGTAAATTACATACATGGATTTAAAAATAAGCTAAATCAGCATAGATGCTGAAAGGACACCTTTTCAAGTTGGGACTGACAGATAACCCAACTTGTTAAAGGAGCCTACAAGAAAACGAATCAGCCGCACACATCCTGTGTGATTTAAGTTTATTTAAGATTTTGTCACTTGGGTCAGTTTTTAATGAAACCAAGTGGCCCACCCCTTACATACATACATACATACATACATACATAGATGCTGGTATTGTTTTAAAATCCTAATGGTCATACACACTGCATTTTTTACTACCAGTGTGTAGAATGATGTCCACAAAATTTTTTACTTGGTCAACACACGAGCCATAAACAGGCAGGTATGCAGACTGAGCCAAAACATGGCCTTTCCTCTATGGGTGGTCACTGTATTGTTTTCCACTTACCCTGATAAGTTAGCACCAGTGATAAAGAGGAAATCGATTTGCTCTCACAGTCCTCACATGTGGTTTATTTAGTCATGGATAAATTTACATTGGATCATCAGGTGTTCTATGTGAATCTTACGTGACATTTAACTTTCCCTCATAATTATTGAAACTATGGCCTAACAAAACTACCGTCAGCAAAGTCTTTGAAGCCACATGATCCAATAAGCAGACCTTATTTCTGTAACTGGTATCTTCAGTCATTTCACACTATGAACTTGATACTGAGTTGACTTTCTTTCAGACAAGGCTTGATTTTGTATGATCTGAGGTTCCCACGTCATTGGTTATGAAGAGTTCTGTAATTCTGGGATATAATGCTGTGGAGTCCCTTGAAAGTTATTCAATGTTTTGGGGGAACATGTCACCTCCGAAACATAAGCTGACTTTCAAGAGACTACACAGCATTATATCCCAGAATACAGAACTCTTCATAAGGCTTTATTTTATTTGAATGGACACATGAACACAAAAAGTGGCACACACTTGGTTGGGTTGGGTAAATTGCTGCTGGCCCTCACTGGAACAGTCATTCCTGGTTCTGAGTCCCATGGGACTGATGGCCATATTTACTGTCTCACAACACTGAATTGCGGAGAATCCACATTTTATATGCAAACTTATGCTCTATTTGTAGAAGTAGTTGTGTCCTGAATGTGAGGAGGACAATTGGCTTCATATTTTATCCAGAAACAGTTACTGTAGCCATTTTCAGGGAATTGAAGACAAGAAAAATTGTAACTTTGAACAGTGTTTTTAGCAGAGAGGTTATATATAATTTGTGATGTGTGGATATCTTCTTCTGCTGGTATTTGTCTGTGTGATTTCTTCTCATGATGATATTTACAAGATAAAACATGAAATTATCTCAGAGAAAATGCACAACTTAAAGTACAAGTCTGTGTGCTGGAAACAGTAAATTGTAAGGAGCAATCTGTTTAGAACATTTTCAGCATGTTCAGTAATGTAGGTTTAAAACTTCACTGTGTTAAGTTGCTGGCACTTTCATTATGACTGTAACTGACTGAGCAGAAAATATGGCGATTGGCACGGTGTTCGCACATTGTGGAAAGGTTCTGCTTCAGCTCTGTCCACAAATAATCTCCCTGTATAATATTATAAATATAAAAGCAACAGAATTGTTTCAGATCCTTTGATGAAGTAACTAGATATCCCATTTCAAACTCTTATTATTAAGTTCTATCTTCATACTTTATTTAAGTATTGTCAATTAATCTTCAATCTAAGACATTTCAGGAATGGAAAAATGAATTTAAGAAGAAGAGTTATAAGTAAACATATTATTATTATTTTTTCAAGGCATTATACAAAACGTTCTGGATATGTATGCAGTAGCTCACAAACTTTGAAGCAATTATAGGCCTGTGCTTTAACACTGAAATTAAATGTGTATACAAGAAAATTTTACATGAAAACAGATCTTAAAATATTTTAAAACATGCATGTCTATATACATATAACAATTACAGAATCTATAGGAAATTTGGCACTTTTAACATCATCTATATGACTTTAACCTTTTGCTTCTTCGAACATAGTAAAACTTAATAAAATTAGAAGGGATCTGCTCCTTCTAACATAGTCATTTATGACACCACATAGTTTTGTAGCTAGTTGCCAAGTTCTAGTACTAGGTTCCTCCAAAATATTGATAACCACCCATGAAACTATATGGTATCATAACCCACAAGACCATAACTGTAATTTTCACTGATGTGACACCTCAGATGTCCCATAGTAAAAAACAGTGAAACTGTATTGACTTGAGGTTCACAAGGGAATGACTGGGATACATCATGTAGTCAGTTGAATATCGACTGAGAATTCAGGGGAACATGTCTTCATAACCCTCTCTCTGAGAACCTTAAATCCTACATGATCCTGTGTACTATGGTAGGTAGATACCAACATTTCAGAGGAAGCTGGTTCAGGGTAGAAAATGAAGGCCGCAGGTTTCTCAAAAACATTGGTATCTATCTGCTGAACTTCATGGTGTCACATCCCAGAAGACAATCCCTGTAGTGAAATCTCATTTAAAATTTAAATACCCAGGGAAAAGGAGCACTGGAACTCCCATAAGAAAGTAAAGCTTTCCCTGTAACAGGCCATGAAGGCCCGTAGGGTTGTGAGAGGTTGAGGTTCCCGCATTTTCTAGACAATCGGCTCACAGATGGTGGTGAGGTTGTCAGGCTTACGTGCCGTACCCCCAGGAATATTCCTGGTACTCATTTCTTTTGGGGGCTGAGTCAACCCCAGGGCCATAATGCGGCTGGAAGGATTAGGTCAATTGAAAAAATCCACCTAATCGGGATTCGATCCCACGACCTTCCGGGTTGTAGTATAGTGCCTCAACCAACTACGCTACTGCATGCCCCCCTGGAAGTCTCATACATTAGTATTTTAAATGGAGTAAGTAAAAGGTTAATATATAATAATAATAATAATTCTTCCCATTTCATTTTGAATTCATTTTCTTAAGATTGCTTTAAGTCTTCCTCAGTGCAGTGACAAATCAGGTGTATAAATTGAATTTGTGTAAACACAGTATTATCATATAATGCAATTATTTTAAAACGAGTATATAAATCAGTGCCAAAAAAGCAAGGATCATTCAGTCACTGAGAAACCATGATGCAAAGATACAAACTTAACATTGGTAGTTAACTGCAATAATGTTGCAACAGCAGTCTTTTACTTGAATGAATTATTATAGAGGTGGTTCATTTATTAACATACAGTCTGTAGCATAACCATAGCCATGGATTTAATATTATTAAGTATAATTAGAATGATCAGGTCGAGGAGGATGAGGTGAGTGGGGCATGTAGCATGAATGGGGGAGACGAATGCGTATAGGATATTGGGGAGAAAGCCAGAAGGAAAGAGACAACTGGGAAGACCAAGGCATAGGTGGGTGGACAATATTAAAGTGGATCTTAGATAGGATGGGATGGTATTGATTGGATTGATCTGGCTCAGGATAGGGACCAGTGGGGGGCTCTTGTGAACACGGTAATGAACCTTCGCATTCCATAAAATGCTGGGAAATTCTTGAGTAGCTGCAGAATTGGTGGCTCCTCAAGAAGGGCTCAGCTCCATCAGTAAGTGTACTGTACCAGTGCTAGGATATGGCAAATTTGAATCATGGGTAGGGCACATAGAACATGTGGGAGCAATAAGAAATACATATAAAACTCTAGTCTGAACACCTGAAGAGAAGAGACCACTTGGGAGACCTAGGCATAGATGGGATGATAATACAAAAATAGATCTCACAGAAACAGCGTGAGGCTGCTCTGTGCAGGATCCAGTAGTGGCATCTTGTGTACATGGCAATGAACATTCACTTTCTGTAAGGGATGGAGAATTTCTGTGCTGAGTGACTATCAGTTTCTCAAAAACTCTGAATAAAATTTGATAGCTGGCTATGGATCCTTTGCCTTTTGTGGGGAACACAATGTTGCATGATGCAGGGAAGTCTTTGGTAGTTTTATCTGAACTGTTTGTACATATTCAGAAAATTACCATCAGCACCATCACAAGACACTTCTGACACAGGACCCTGTTCACTTCTAAATCTTAATCATCAGAAATTTGGAAGCTTGTTTCCTCATTGTGGCACAGTTACCTTTATGATCTCTTTCTTTCCTCACTGCTAGTAGAGGAAGAAAAAACTAATTTATTCAGACTTTCTGAATTTCAATTAGTTGCTTCCTGTGTCCAGCTAATGGTTGGATGTGAAATCATTCTAGTATACCGTTCTTTCTTTGCATGGTACTTCACTGAAATTAATAAGAAGTATAACCCAAAGTAAGGCAGTTTGAACAAGCAGACCTTGCATTAAGATGATCTATGGAAGCATATGTATTAACAGTGAAAGCACAAATATTGTTGCTTCTGCATAGAATATAATCAAAATTTAAAACAAGTACAAATGTGCTTCCTTTGAAATTGTTAAGTCTTAATATAGCTGTCTCTAAAACTGTTGAAGAACCACCTCTGTGGAAGAACAATGAATTTCCTAGATGGATTATGCAGAACTTCTGAACACATTACATAACTATCTTATTTCTGACATCATAAGAACATGATAATTGACCAGAAAAATCGCCATCTTTAAGTAAATTAATGCCTGCATACCCTCAAATTTAACTTCCTGGTTTGGAAGCACGTGAGTCTATTTCAGCCCAACTTCTTGTAAGTAAGAATTTGAGTATTACATTTCTTTTAAACTAGTTAACAGTACAGCTGACAAATTTTAAATCGCTGTGAAACCATTTAAAATCACAAGAATAAATTCATAATTTGATTGATAGTATTTTTAAGTTATTACCAACAACATAATTCAAAATCAACTGAACAGCATCCTATTGCAGTTATTAACCTTTCTCATCTGGGACCATGGGATTTAAGCCTTTTGCTATTGTAGTAATTGCAGCTGGATTTTAAGTAGGGATTAGTGACATTCACATCGGAAACAATGTCACTAGGTTTGCTGGACCTATGTATGTGCTACCACAATGGTGCGACACACAGATGATAAAGGTTAATTATAGTAATCAAGTTTGCTATAGAAATTAGTGTATAGAAAGTCGTACTTCCAAGTGTTGTTTGTAACATATTCAGGAGCAAAGTACAAGTCCCTGTGCTGAGATTTTCTAATAAGGGGTGTAACACCATCAAGCCATAACCCTGTACCAACAAGATCTTCTACATATGCTGCATCAATCTTTTTGCTGTTCACTTTGTCCCAGTCGATTGGACTGTTATCGTGAGGTGTCCATTGCAGCATGGTAACAATATCGTTTGGTTCGAGACACCAACTACAGTACCAGCCACCATAGTGATTCAAGTCTCCCACAAGAAGTTCATACATCGAACTCCCTTCAGGTTCCTCCAACCCTGGAATGAGATAACCTGGAATCCTCAGTGGACTATTATGGAATATATCAGCCTTAATTCCTACTGTATAAACACCTGGTGTTATGACAGTCCTCTTTGGATGCTGCCAGAAGAAACCATATGCGGACCACCGCAACCGAAATGCAACTGGCAATGGCCAGCCATCATACAGTTTGAAGAATAATAGTGCTTTTGGATTAGGAATTTGATATGCATCAGTAGAGTCTATATACAGGTCATCTGATCTTAAATTTGTTAATGTGACTTGCCCTCTTTGCCACAGTTGTTGTCTAATACTCTTGCTGTAAGCGCTGCTGTGATTAACTGTTTTACTATCACTATACAAGGGATCTGTCAACGGAATGTAAAGAAGCTTCTGTCGTATATCTTCAGAGATAAATCCCTTGTCTTGAAGTTTATGCCTGAAGTAAAGCGGTTTAAGATGTCCTGTTGCTGTATGGTTTGACTCTCCTATAACAAAAAAGTCAACAACATGCGATAGTTCATGAAGTTTAATTTCAGCTATTGTTGTTTCTAAGCCTGTAATTGGAAAACCATGAATAATTCTCCGAGGTGTTTTTCGTCTCCTGGGGGATATTTTTTGACGAGATGCTATGAAAGCTCGCCAGATTACTTCAGGTTGGCCACAGTCTTTTCCATGCCAACCTTTTTTACATTCACATCTTGTTTGATCCATGTGATGTGCCTGAAACAACAGAAGGATTCGGTTAATTTCATCCCTGAAACATTGTGCCACTGAAGACTGAAGTGTCATGTCTGTGTGATTGTTAATATAACATCTTTTCATTAGGATAGAAACTGTTTCCGGAACTTTAAAGCCCTGTGCACACATTCTTATGTGATATTCCATCCTCATTGGCTGATGCTTGGGCATATCACTTAACTGAGATTATACTCATGTTCCAGGAAAAAAAAAACTACTTTATTTACAATCAGATGCAAATTGAGTAACTACACCAACAGCACAACAGCCGATAGAAACAAGTGCTAATGTAACCACAGTTAAACATTTCACCATCTCGTAAGATTTGAGGTTTTCACGGCAGTGACTATGAAGAAAGCAGTCTTCTGGGATGTGGCACCATGTAGATGTGGTGTTAACCGACGTTTCGGAAGACCAGTCTGTTTGTACCACGGTCTCTTCGCTTGTGGATTTATTTTTCCTTCTACCCTGAAGATGGAGGCGATATGAAACGTCGGTTAACACCACATCTACACGGTGCCACATCCCAGAAGACTGCTTTCTTTCACCATCTTGGTAAATTGACTTTAAGGAAACCCACCATATCCCTTTTCTGTTTCTTTCTTGAATGGTAGCAAGTCGAGAGGAAAATTATTTCAGTATATGAATGGAGAAAGTTTGAGAGATATATTTAAGCTGTAGAACATGTAGTACACTCTGATGAAAATAACAAATTTAAATGGAGAAGGGAGATGATTATATCATTTATTAGAGCATGAGAAAGGAAACATGGTCTGAGACATCAAACCTGACTGTTAGGAAAGTTGTCATGTTGAAATACAGATTGAAACCATATAGTGTCAGGGGATAAGATGACTAATGAATATGGAGCAGTTGATGGAATGGGAATTAGCAGGAAAAATTGAAGTACTTGGCGAAAACCTGCCCCAGTGTCACTTTGTCCGCCATAAATCTCACATGAGTCGGACTGCAGCTGTCAACTGAACAACTTGTCAGGAAGTGTATTCAAATGCTTCAACATCTGAATCAGATAGTTGGTCCCTGGCAGCTTGTGGAAATTAATGAAAGTTCAGGAATATCCTACCGGATATGGATTAATTTTTAATAATGAATTGGGAGCCAGGATAGCGCAGTCAGTATAGTGACTAGCTACAGGCTGGACAACCAAGGGGTCGGAGTTTGAGCCCCAGTTGGTTCAAGAAGTTTCTCTCCACGTCATCCACACCAGCTCTGGGATTCACGAAACCTATCCAGTGGGCACTAGGAGCTCTTTCCCCAGGGGGAAAGTGGCCAGGGTGTGACACTCACTGCTCACCTCCAGTTAGTGCTGAGGTCAGGAAAATGTGGATCGATACATCCATTCCACCATACCCCTTCATGGCATAGTGCTTAATTAGTTAAGCATAGGGACTTCACCTTTTTTACCTTATACTAGATGCTTTGACCTTCGTGCTTCATGTATTTATGAGATGTTTCTTTTCTTGGGTTATAGTTACTCTTTAAATATGATGTATCAGTAACATTTACTGTTCGAGAGTAAGTGGAGAGTTTGTTAGTGTGGGAAGTATGGTGAAAGGAAGGGGAAAGTGGCACCCACTTCTAAATATACTAAAAATCCTCCCAGCTGCATCAAAGATATTAATGCAGGAGGTAGTATTATGTTTGAATTGTTCTACACGATATACTTGACTTGGAGAATATCGGCAAATTTTCGTAACTGCTGTTCAAACCCTACCCATCCGACATAACCTCAATGGACTTATACTTAAAGCAACCAGACCGCTTTCAAATAGGACAATACTTACATGTCGTCTCTTTGTATAACGTATGTCTGTTCCCCGTTCAAAACACACAGTTTCATTGTTCAATTTAACAAAATATTTGGAAGCTACAGTGTTGGGCAAAATTGCACGACTTTTTTCTGTGAGGTATCCCTGCAATTTTTTATGATATGGCACAGCGTTAATACCACTAGGGGCAACAAATCTAATTGGGTATGGTTTCGAGCTGCTGGAGAACGAAAATTCGTGTTCTTTTGGTGTCGAAGTAGGATAGTCAAACATGTGTGATGAAGGAGCCACAAGCAAATAATATATCACTAGCAAAACCTGAAGCACGAGCAATGTCCAGAGCATACATAACTTAAAATCCACTCTGTAATGCATTTAGTATAATTATTAGCTTAGAAATCTCGCAGGGCATTGTTCCAGCAATGTGTACCGCCCAAAATCTTGACACTGTTGTATGTCGTCTGCTAAATGATTGGTTTGCGTGCGCATTCCATTGATGTTAATGCAGTGGAGTGTTCGTAACTCGTTTTTGAAGCCTTGTGAAGATGGGAGAAGATATGTTTCGTTCAGTAAAAACTTGCCCATTAGAACGTTATTGAAACTTTTATACTTTGCCGAATATACTTGATACCATACTTCACGAAGTATCCCAGTGTAATTATTTTTCATCGCAACTTATTTATGCAGGTTAATGATAAATGATACAAACTCCGTCCCAAGTGCAAACAATATATATTATATGTCCTTGATCTTGTTCTTTCTACANAAAAATTTTAAAAGGTTTTAAAACATCATAACTAAAGATTTTTAGAGTGCTACTACAAGAATAACAAATTTGACGTGTGCAACATAATCTACATACCAGACATATATCAACGATGTAGATGTTGATAATACGAAGAATGTGACATTGTGTTTTTAAATGTTAAATTTTAGACTGGGTTCAGTGTGGCAACAACGTTAAGAATATACACCTGATGATGGCCGATAGAGGCCGAAACATGTAGTGTAGAAAGAACAAGATCAAGGACATATAATATATATTGTTTGCACTTGGGACGGAGTTTGTATCATTTATCGTGTAGAGTGCAACAGGATGCTTAAATATAATATTGTAAACAGGTTAATGACATAAGCGAATGTACAGAATTACCATTATTCTGAAACGAATTGATATTGAAATTACATTAACTAGACTGACAAACGTGCTGAAAAAAAGTCGCAAGACGATGCTCTTATTTTAGGGTTGGGCGTGGAGTAACACATTCAAAATAAGGAGGTCATAAGGAAGAGCGTTACCAGATGTCACCCGAGGTGTTAGGTGGTAGCCAATAGCTCCTCACGGTAAAAGGCCACTACGTTACAAAGTGTTACTACAGGCAGTTGGCGTTGGTGGGCTCATGTGAACACAGTGATGAACCTTCAGGGCCCATACATTTCTTTATAGCTCCTCAAGAAAGTGTGTGCTCCATGGAATTTGGTAATTGTTACAAGACTGAGCCCTGGAATAACTCATCTCAATATAACAAACTTTGTTATTTCTACAGTCCCAGTATTCTTTGCGTCATTGAATCAGATTTGTGTTGGGTGAAACATGTTGTTTAGAAAGATGAATGAAAAATGGGTATGGAGCTTTTGATTTCCAAATGGACCTCAGGTTAATATGTTTTGAGCATGTAACTGGCCAAGTCTTTTATGTCAGTGTAAGAACTGAGTTTTTCAAAGAAGTGATGTTCATCATATATACATACCTTTCAGAAACTGTTATATGATTGTAAATGAATTGTTGCACTCACATTTTTGGTTATGGCAGTGAAACAAAATATCATTGAGAGTTTAAATTCTTTCGTGGTAAAATGATAGCCCTGGCACTTGGTTAGTTACAGATTAAGGAGGGTTTGTAAAAACTGTTCACATTTTTAATAGATGTTGATATGGATAAAGGTACCAACATTTTGAGTGTCAGACTGTGGTGACCGAGCCTTAAATTGTGTTTAATTTATTCCCCAAAACGTTGGAGTTTTATTTCATTTCTTTTTATATATATATGTCTTTCTTTTGCAAATGCATACTCAGGTTGAAGAGTCGGACACTCCTGTCACCAAGCCCAACTGGTCCATAATGCATAAGTTAACTTTACCGCTGCACATTCTTTAAATATTAAAGTGTTATGGAACTGAAGAGTTCATTGATACTGCATTTAAAGCTATGCAAAGGCCTACTAGTCTGAAATGGATTGAACTATCCAAGGTTAGAATCCACTGTCAGATTTTTTGGTGATGGTAATGAACCTTCAAGTTACATGGTATCAAGGTGATGGTGGTTTAAAATACGAGTACTATGAAATGTGTGAGAAGTAAGATGGCATATTTGTTTGATAATGGACACAAAGCAGGATTGTCACTCAGTTTTTATATAATTTAATTGATGGTGTATGTTGTAACAGGTATCCATCAAGAGTCTTTGTCGGAGATACATTCTGTTACTTCTCAGGCATGACATTTGCAGTGGTTGGAATCTTAGGCCACTTTAGCAAGACAATGCTTCTTTTCTTTCTGCCTCAAGTTGTAAATTTTGTGTATTCTGTTCCCCAACTGTTCCATCTAGTGCCATGCCCAAGACATCGTTTGCCAAGGTTTGTGCTTGTACCAATTAATAATGTAGTGGGATTTAAATATAAAACTACCTTTTACCTCTTGTTTTTTTATGGGTCTGAAGTTTGATCTCTCACATTAAGAGATAAACGTAGATTACATTCTGACTCTTAGATCCAAATATTCTCCTCAGTGCCCTATTCACTGAGGAGAATATTTATTTGGACCTAAGAGTCAGAATGTAATGGGGGGCTGGAGGGTAGTGTGTAACCAGGAGCCTCATATTTTATACTCTTCACCAGTGTTATTAGAGTGTGGTCACGTTTTATGCAAATTTGAAATGGTGCAGTATAAAATATATTAATAAAGTCTCACTTTATGTGCAAAGTTTGAAATAATGTTAATCCCGTTTTTATTATTATTCTTATGAGAAAACTTGTCTTGAATTATGTGAGGTCATCTCGAACGCATCCCTCACATAAAATGTATCTGCACTGTGCAATATTCAAGTCAAGCGGAATGGGACGGATGGGGCATTCAGCATGTATGGGAGAGATGAGAAATATATACAGAATTTTAGTCACGAAAGAAAAGAGAGGAAACAAGAGATCTAGGCATAAATGGGAAGACAGTATTAAAATGTATCTTATTGGCTGTTAATGCTGAAGTTCTGTGCAGTTGACATTGTATTTAAATTTTATTTTTACTGTATCTTTAAAATTCCACTTGCGTCTTCTTCGATAAATACAAAATTTATTGTGTGATGTAATTTGTAAAATGTGCTGTGGATTTTATATTTGAGGTTCTTACAGCAGTGACTTGAAGAATAGGCCTGCTGTACACTGGGATGTGAAAACACAGAGTCTGATAGAAGTTCACTGATGTTCCAGAGGAATGTACTGCCTGATTCTTGCTAGTACTTGCTTGGCACACACTTTGACTCCGAGGATGGAGGCAGTACATTCCTCTAAAACATCCGTGAACTTCTACCAAACTGGATGGCATCGCATCCAAGAAAGTAATACTTGCATTCTGTAAATGTTTACATAAAAGTTATACTATTTGCAATTTCTGTACTATTGCATGACTAAAATTTTACCCCAGAATACCACTATATTTTGTTGAAAATTATGATGTGCTGCCTTACAAATGTTTGGGGATTGTATTTAATTACCTGCAGCCCTTTTTAGTCAGATCGGTGGTGTTCAGAAAACAAGGTTAAGTCACCACATATCACTTTTCATGAGACTAAGAAACAACTTCAGATTTTTATGCAGTGAACAACCTCACCGATTCATTCTGTCACTGAATGGAGGGTGTTTTGCTTTAGTGATTTGAGTTCTCACTTGAGTCATTTAAGAAGGATAATTACATAATGTACTTAGCTCATTTTGACCTGTTTTTGACTTAATATTCTATCCTATATCACACACACACATATATAAATGTTAAAGGAGGTTCACAAAAGCTGATTTACATACATACATAGATACATAATTTCACAGATCCATTGTCCGGAAACCGGACCGGATATTGAATTCGTCAGCAAAATGACATTGCAAAATGCAATCTAGTCTCAACAATTAAAATATTCAAGAATTATAAAATGAAAAATACAATAATAACATAAAAGGCAGTCATATAACAAATCTAGATAATACATAATCTTGGAAAGACAACAATAATGTATTATGCTTGCCTGTATGCCATGTATTCATCTACCGAATAAAATGCATTTAAAATAAGATAATCTTTTAGCCTTTGTTTAAAAGTATTAATATTGTCTTTCAAAGAATATATATTGTATGGCAAGTTATTAAATATTCTAATGGATGAAAAATGCACACTCTTTTGAATGAAAGATAATCTCACAAAGGAAACATTTTCCCCACATCTTTTATTACCTCAATGCATATGTTTTGGACACAAGGCAGAAACTTAGTTTCAGCCTTGGGCAATACACATCAGTATTCCCGGCAGAAGTATATGCCATTAAAGCATGTATTATGGAAAATTTAGATAGGAACTACAGAAATAGGAACATCTATATTCTATTCTATCTGACAGCCAGGCTGCACTTAAAGCGCTTGACAAACACCAGATCAACTCAAAATTGGTCTGGGATTGCCACCAAACCCTCATGGAACTGGCCAAACATAACAGGGCACAACTGATATGGGTGCCGGGGCATGAGGGTATTGCTGGAAACAAAACAGCAGATCAGTTGGCTAAGACTGGAGCTGAACATCCGTTCATAGGACCTGAACCAGCCTGTGGCATCTCTATAGGAGTTGCCAGACAGGCAATCAGGGACTGGACAAATATGAATCACAAGAAATACTGGAGATCCTTGACTGGACTCAGGCAAGCAAAGGGACTCATACGAAGACCCTCTGCTAAAAGAGCGAAGGAACTGTTGAAGTTAAACAGGAACCAGCTACGATGGGTGGCAGGACTACTTACAGGACACCTCTTCAAACTGGGACTAAGTGACAGTCCCACTTGTGAGAGGTGTTAAGAAGAAAATGAAACAACCACTCATATCCTGTGTGTATGTGAGGCCTTAGCTTATTTAAGATTATGTCACTTGGGTCAATACTTTATTGAAACAAGTGACTATTTTGATGCCCCCACGTACAAAATCCTGCGCTTTATTTGAAGCACAGGATTGCTTAAGGGGATAATCAAAAGGGGAAGCACAACAGATCACTGTAGGTCGGGGTGCAAGAGCCGAGAGGGCCCACCTCTTGTACATTCATTCATTCTATCATATGAGTTGGACAAATTCTATCACAAAAATAACAGAAGTCACTATGTACATATTGTTCATATTCTCTTATATTTACAGTCCTAAATTAAAAAAAAAAAAACATGTATATATATATATATTTTTTTTTTCTGTCAAGGTACAACATTCAAACTAACAAGCTGGAAGCTAGTGTGACCACATTCAAGATATCAGATTTAAACTGTCTTGGAAAATTGATTATGGCAGTGTTCCGTATACTACACTTGGTCCACTGGGTAGAAAAAAAAGATAGCGACAATGATAAGGAAATTTACGTGGAATGCAATAATCTCACGCTCATCAACTTTGTGCTTATATGGAAAGGACCTACACATGAAGCGACACTCACTACAATTTTACTTATTATCCAGGTATGTATATGCATTACCATTTTTTATTTAATCTCTAAAACAAACTGAGAAGACTTCCTGGTTTTATTTTTATGGAGGTATGAGTAAATGTTTAAATTTGAAAAAATTCACAAACATCATTCCACATCATCAGCATAGACCGGCAACTGATGTGTCCCATTTAATTTTGGTCCCCCCTGGTTTTCCTGAACCTCCGTAATGGCATATTCTAAAGAAGAGTTGAGCAAGCACAGTAGACCACTGTAGGTCGCAGTGCAAGGGCTGAGATGGCCCACCCCTTATACATTCATGCAAAGCAGAGTTGAAAAGTGGTAGCGATAAAGCAGCTACTTACCTAACTAGTTTCATGGATATCCCAAATGATGAGAATTTTGTACAATACTTCCCTCATAACTGAATCATAGGCCTTCTTGAAGTGAGGGATGCTGTTAGTATTACTTACTTCCTTATGAGCTGAGCCATTCTTGAGGAGAAGCCAAATCTGCAGCTACTCAAGAGTTTCCCAGCATTTTATGGAACCCAAAAGTAATTACCATATTTACAAGAGCCCTTCAGTTGTCCCTATCCTGAGCCAGATCAATCCAATTCATACCATCCCATCCTATCTGTCTAAGATCCATTTTAATAATGTCCACCGACCTATGCCTTGGTCTTCCCAGTGGTCTCTTTCCTTCTGCTTTCCCACCAGTATCCTGTACACATTTGTCTCCCCCATTCGTGCTATATGACCTGCCCACCTCATCCTCCTTGACTTGATCATTCTAATTATACTCGGAGAAGAGTACAGGTTATGAAGCTCCTCATTATGCAGTTTTCTCCAACCTCCCGTCGCTTCATCTCTCTTTGGTCCAAATATTCTCCTCAACACCCAGTTCTCAAAAAAAGTATAATAAACCATGTCAGAAAAATGAAACATTCTCTATTATGTTTCACCATTTTGTAGTAAGAAAATATGCTGTTATTTTGTCATTATGTTACAGGTGCTTTGCAGCCTTCTTGCATTCACAATCCGCTATCCATTGGCATCACTCTTCTACGATATTTAGCAGGCTGACATGTGTCTCTTGTACCAAAGATGACTCCACTATTTTCACCATTTATGCTTGAGCATTTTATGTACAGGAATAGTAATAATTAACTGCAATGATGATACTATTCCAGTATCTTTACATCTATTTTGGTCATTAATTTTATATTTCAGAATATTATATATGTTTTTTATTTAATTTAGGAATTTATTATTTATGCACCCATGTGACATAAATCACTGACCAGAAAAAAAGAATACATTAATGTTGAAGTTTCCTTCATTGTGTATAAAAGTAAATAAAGTACACTGTCTGTTGCATGTCAAGAGGATATCGTGTAATGGGTGGACTTTGGCTGCTACCTACACACAAAACAACACAAACATCGCCGCCTCAAGTGGAATTTGAGCAGGCAAAGATGGTTCATGCCTTAGCCCATGCATCCACTGTGATTGGCACAGTATTATTGCTACCCTATGTTAAGTTTGTTACAGATAATGACATACACTGTAAAATTTGCTAATATGTAAGAAAGTGCCTTAGATTTAATAGACATTGTACATCCAACATTTCATAATAAAATTGTGGACCAAAATAAAAATTAGCAAGGTATGTGCTTGTCAATTTTATTAAGCATACTTCTCTGCCAATAAGATAAAAGGGTCTTGAAACAGATTATGTGTGAACATTACATATATGGTTTACATTTTCAGAATATTGCGGGAAAGCCACTCCACCAGTCATCATTTTCAGCTATGTAACCAGAAATATTGCTAAGCTGCATAATTTGTCACCAATATCTGCGTTTTATGTACATCTCTCCATGAAGACCACTTTTGTATTAGCCATTATCTCGTAACTGCATGAAGAAATGGGCATACATGTGTTCACATTAGGGGTAGCAATATATATCAAAAGTAACAGCCGTACATAGATATTAAAAAAAAATACTCTACCTCGGAATACCAAATAGTTACAATTGCTACAACTGAATATTCTTCACGACTTATACTATCAGTTATGGTTTCGTTACTGATTACAAGTTTCATGAAATCCCTGATAACGAAATTTAAAACGGCGTTACCTACAAACCACCTTTCCACGAGACAACCTGTCATGTAATTTCACATACCCATTTTATTTCGGTCCATGCACACGGATCACATGAAAAAAAACGCCAAAGAAAACAGATTTTGTCACTGCTATTAATTTATCCGTGGTAAATGTAGTAATTGGAAATTTGTTACTACTGTTCGCAACAATTGTTTTAACTAGGAAATTAAGACTACCGAAATTCAGCAAATACGCTCATAAATCTCATTGTTAATATTTGATTACTGGGATTTAGAAGCCATGGCTGAATGAAGAGTACCGTATAGCAATTTCACAATTTCTCATTAGCCGACAGAATATTCGTGTGCAATCATGGCCGGCAAGAGTAATATGGAATTATTGCTACGAGATGAAGATAGAATTGACCCGTTTCTGTCTAAGTGGTGGAATCCAGTAGCTGCGTCTGTTGTTGGTGTTATAACTGTAGTATTTGTGAGACATGCTCAGAGACGGCCGTTAATAAGCGGTACGTAACAGAACTGTTAAATGCCTGTGATGAACGCAATTGTATTTCGTGTATATTGGTTAAAAATTTCATAGCGGTCGGATACTGAATGTATTATGTTTTTAAAACTGCTTGTCAAAGAAGCTGTCTTGATTTTTTATTTTAAATAATGAAAGTTACAGTTCGTGACCTGTGTCTGGGTAATTAGATTTGAATGTGGGATAGATACATAGCAATGCAACTCGCAAACTTAATGATCAGTAAGTAAATAAAAACTACATGGTTCTGAATGTGATGCTGAAGGAAACAATTTCCAGCACCCATGTAGGAATCAGACACTAGCACACTTTATTGATCATCCATCCCCCACCCCCATCATAACTTGGTTCATTGTAAAACATGGCATCATACCGTACAGTGTCAGGCACCTTGATACAGTGGTTTTATTTGCCGGATATAGAATAATTTTTAGGTGCTTACATATTAGCAGGTAAACCAAGGAACATTAAAAGTTGTGGCCATGTCGTCCATCACATTGTCCCTGCCAGTCAAATAAGTTTTTTAAAAAAAAACTTGGAGCCTAACCTTAGAATTTTCCTCCAACTCCACAAATTAGAGTTGTGGTTTTGTTTTTAAAACATGAGGCCATTGGTTCCATCTATACAAGGTTAGGCTTTTGGTTTTACTTTTTAAAAATCTTCTAAAGTTGGGCTTTGGATATTTTGTGCATGTTTGTGCCTGCAAACTTCTGTGTTTGTGATCACTAATATGTTAGGCAACATGGCAGTAAAGTTATTTTGGTCGTTCATTAATACATAGGTACCTTTTCTTGGTTTTTTTTTTTAGGTATTCAGACACACATACTGACAGGCATAGGTTGTTTTCTTGCTGGATATCATATTGATCAGTATCGTAACCAGTACTTAGCAGAGAGGGATGCTGTGTTACGCAACTATCTGGAAAGACACCCAGAGGACTTTCCTGAGCCAGGTTAGTGGGACGCATATGATTTGTAGTAGTTACTATGGGATTCTGACGATGGTGTATAACTGATATATTGGGTTTCTGGACTTTATCCATCGTCCTGGTTTTTAAGATAACAAATAAAAACACAACATTTCGGAAACAGATCCAGTTTCCGAAACGTGTTTTTATTTGTTATCTTAAAAACCAGGACGATGGATAAAGTCCAGAAACCCACTATATCAATATGATTTGTACATTGGATATAAAGCAAAACCTTTTCACTTGTGACATTAAATTCAATTTATGTTTCTTTGAAATACAAAATGTGTCATTATTTGATCAAGAAAGCCATGGCAATCATTTCTATATGCTGCAGTCTTCTGAGATATGTAAGCAGTATGTGTAGCAACTGGTACACAGCCCAGAGAAGCAGTAGTATGTAATAAATATTTCACTGCTGTGAGCCTAAGAGTTTTCCAGGATGTATTGAATAGGAATAGAGAGTGAATCTGGCAAAAGTTGTGGAAAAGTTAATGTGTTGGTATAACTAAGGATTCCTTTTTACCTTAAGAACATACCATGAGGATAGATGAGAACATGTAGATAAAGTTCCATGCTTTGTTTACTTGACACTAGATGGTAATGTTCCCTTTATCACAGTTGATGATACTGTGACATGATGCCTGAAAGCCAGAATAGTCCATTGCTGGGCAGCGGTTCGGTAAGCACATTTCATGGCAATGGAAAACCAGAATAACACGAACTGTTTGAGGTGGTGATCTATATTCAGGTTGCCTGGACATTACTTCAGTCCAGGAGAGTTTGGTCATAAAAAGTTTTTCATTCGGCATTCATAAGGGAGTTCAGTGAATGAGCAGTGATTCTTCGATCCTCATTCATCCCAGTGGAAGAGAAGGCACATGTAGATAATCTAATAAAAGGAAGGAACATAGTTAACTTCATCAAAGCCCAAAGAATAAGTTTGTTTGGACACATCTCAAGGATGAGGCTGGACGAACAGTTAAAAGTATATAAGACTGGCAGCCGCATGCTATAAGAAAGAGAGGCCGACCTAAGATCAGATGGAAAGATGATGTAAGGGAAGATATAAAGGACTTAGGAATTTATAAGTGGACAATTTGCACACAGGACAGAAGTATTTGGAAGGAAATTATTGAGCAGGTCAATGCGTTCAAGACATGAAGAAGAGAAGACACTTGTAGTTCAGTAAGGAATGGAGTGAGTTGTAGACAGTCATTGATTGTGAGCTGTTGTAATTGAATTTAATTGTAAAAAAAAAAAGTGCTAATAAATCCATTCATCCAATCCAGAACCCTCTATTATTCGCAATGCAAACCCCTCACACATGGCGGTGCCTTAGAGATTGGGGAGCCACATACATTGTTATTTCTGAACTTATTATCTCGAATTCTTCTATTTAGGTATCTTTCATTTAATAAATGCTGTTAGTAGTTCATGTTATATAGCATCAAATATTGGCATGATCAGTGAATAATGAATTGGAGAGGAATTGGGAAACCAGTGGACCTGGCCTTATTTGAGGTACTACCCAAGCATTTGCCTGGAGGGACTGAGGAAAGCCTTAAAATACCCCAGCCATGTTAGCTGGTGTCCCAGCTAGGGTTCTTCATGGATTATTCTAATAGCCATTAATTTCCTCCCAAAATGACTAAAATAATGTGTTCTCTTCATTAATTGATTGTTGCATCTTATATTTTATGAATTTTTTATCCGTACAGATTTTTGTAAATACGTAACCCTGTTCGCAAAGTTCAAGACAAATTTTGTTATACCCCAGTTTGTTGACCATTCCTACAACCATTTTCCATTGTTCTGCCACAGGTAAACTTTCTTCTCAAAACTCATTAATGTTTCACAGGAATCATTTCTACATTCATTGTTATGATTAAATGAAATGATTTATTCTGTCACTGCCCTGATGATATGGATATTTTGATTAATGTGATTTAATTCTGTTTTAGAAAGAAAGAAGTTTTCCGAGATTCTGCAGCCATGGATACCAATTCGTTGAAGATTACACCCCTCAGTACTGTACATAGTTCTTAAGGAAGCTTTTTTTTTTGTGTGTGTATGGTGAAATTTGCATTTCTCGCCATGCTAGTTTATTTTATGAGTGTAAAGATGACAGTGTAAACTGTAGTTTAACACTGGTGTAACTTTTGCAATAAATGATTTGTTGGCTGTTTGTCTCAAACAACAGTTTACATTCTTCATACCTCATTGGAAGAAGTGAGCCGGAATGACCTTCATTGCAGAGCAACACAGGTAAATTGTGAATGGTTATTGTAGAGTGTTAAAATCTTGAAATGTTACATTTTGTAGGTGAGCAAGAAGACTGCCTCTGTGGTCCAATGGTCAGAGTTCCAGGCTACAGATCCAGAGGTCCTTGGTTCGATTCCTGGCGCTACCAGATTTTCTGAGAAGTTGTGGGTCTGGAACGGGATCCACTCAGCCTCTTTGAGGCTAACTGAAGGGCATCTTGAATGGAAAAGTAGCAGCTCTGGTCTAGGAAGCCGAAATTAACGGCCGTGGGGATTCGTTGCACTGACCATGCGACACCCTCTATCCGCTAAAGTTAGCACTAACTTTTCCTACAAGTGGTGGTTGCTCAGTCAGTAGAGTTCACTTGTGGACTAAAGCCACAATTTTTTTTAAGCAAGGAAACTGAAGTTGGAGACATAGTTCCATTATTCCAGGGGTTTATATCACTAGCAGTTTGAAAAAATAAGTCTTCAACCCTTGGAAATTTTAGGTTGAGAATACATTGGTTCTTGGCAGGCGTTCCAAGTTCATCTTATTTCCCATGTTGTAATGGGCAATTTAGTGTATTTCTATTTATGACAGTTGCACTTTTAATGTTAGAAGTCAGCTGTTTAGTGCTGACACCAATCAGAGCCACATAAGATGGTAAACACACTTGATCTTGATATTACCCAGGTAGAACTTAACATAATTTGGGGCAGCTCAGTCTGTATAATGACTAGGATACAGGTTGGATGGCCAAAGAATCGGGTTTCAATTCTTAGCTGGGCAAGAGATTTTTCTTTTCTCTATAGCACCCAAACAAGCTCTGGGGCCCACCCAGCCTCCTATACAGTGGATTCTAGGGGCTGTTTTCTTTGAGGTTAAGTAGCAGGGACATGAAACTATCCACTCAGCTCGGGCCATGCCATAGTTCAAGTGGTTAGTCGCTGGCTTTCCACCGCGACTGTCCGGGTTCGATCCAGGGTCTGGACAAGTGGGATTTGTGGTGGACAAAGTGGCGCTGGGGGCGGGGTTTCTCTGAGTACTTCGGTTTCCCCTGCCAATCTTCATTCCACCAAATTCTCCATCATCATAATCACCCGGTGCAGGGTACAGTAGGCCAATCAGTGGACTCCGTGCCGAGTGGACCCAGTTTGACTCCACCCCCCCACTAAGCAAATTAAAAAATAACACTCGGCTCCATCTGGCACCAAGGTTAATGTTAAGAATGGTAGAGCTGTATCTCCACTCATGCAGATGTATTCATGGTGTACTGCTTAATTCAGTATTACAGGGATAAACTTCCTCTTATAGTCCATCAACAGGACTTTAGCTGTACCAACCAGTCCAGAATGTGAAGTGGCTATTTACCAGGTTTGTGACAATTTCATTCATTGAAGATTACGATCTTCTGGGATATCACACCAAATAGTGTGGTGGACTTGTTACCAGGTTTTGGAGGGATGTGCTGTGTCCATCTTCAGGATGAAAGATTATACTGCATAGTTGGTTGAGGCACTATGCTACAAGCAGGAAGGTTACAGGTTCAAGTCCCAATGAGGTGGATTTTTTTCAGTTTTCCTAATCCTTCCAGCTGCACTATGGCCCTTGGGTTGACTCAGCCTCTAACAGAAATGAGTACCAGGAATCTTCCTGGGGGTAAAGGGCGGCCAGCTGGCACATAAGGCTGACAACCTCACCTCCATCTTTGAGCTGATTGTCTAGAAAATGCGGGAGCTTCAAAGTCTCACAAACCTGTGGGCCTTCACAGTGTGTTACAGGGATGGCTTTACCTTTATGAATGACATTTCTTATTATGTGACATGATCATCATATTTGATTTGTTTCATTCTGGTCCGTCACACTAACAATTACAAATTACATTGGACGGAGTGATTTATGTTTGTGATCATATGTTTTACACTAAAAGAAACTTCCAGACATCCTGTCAAAGGTATTGCAACCGTGATTTGTTGCAAGATTCTGGAATGTAAGGAAACTGAAACTGATACTCTCTTAACAAACTGTAATAGCAATAGCTTGTCTTCATCAGTTGTCTTATTCATAACCTAAAATAACTTGATCTGACCCATTTCTGCCTAAATGTATAGACGGATACACAGTGATGTGATGTGTGAATCCACCGTAAGTTCTAGTATCACCCATACCTCACAAGATGAGACTCAACCATGCTGTAATTACTTACTGTAGGAAACCACAAGTTACATTGGGCTGGGTTTCAGTGTCATGGTGTTCATAAAAAGTATTGTGAAACAATTGATCGTCTGGTTCAGAAGTACAAAGTGGGGGAATACATAAACATTGCCCATGCAGCATTAAGATTTCATAAACTTACCACCCAATTAATATCTTATTTTAGCATCCTGTTGCACTGATTGTTCACTAGAATCTATTCAGGCTTATTAATGCAAGTTGAGTTCCACTCGCCCAACAGCAGTTGTCCATCACATTCCACTTGCTCATTTCTCTGTACATACAAAATGTTTTAGCCTGTATAAGGCCACCACCAGGTATATCTTTGTAAGCTGTGGCACTGTTATAGTCCCCTGTTATGGGAAGCATGGTCTTCTGTAATAAGCCAAAGTTTCCTCACTGGCAACACCACTGCACAAATACCCACCATCAGTGAACATCAGTTTGTGGTGAACACCAGTAATGATAACTGCATTGAGAGCCCACAGGAAGGAGTTCAGTGTGTTTGTCAAGTACTTTTTCGAATTTAACACTTTTGCTTTCAACCTTTATTTAATTTTAAATACTGCTTCAACTGGATATGGTGGTTTCTTAATGTGAACTTCAGCAGTTTGGGTTCCAATGCATTATTGTAATAAAAAGTGAGGTCAGGAGTCTGCTGTACAGTTTTAAATGTTAGTTATTCTATATTCAGCACTGTGCCGTTATTATAGTTGAATGTCTGTCCACTCTAAACCCTAGATTTTTTCATGTTAGGAATACTAGGTAATCTGTATAAAAGAGGTAAGTTTTTAATTGTGTTAGTATACAAAATTGCTCTTGTGTCACTCTTCATAGGGAAACAGGATGGGGTGGTACTGTCTGGATTCATCTGGCTCTGGATGGGTTCCAGTGGTTGGGTCTTGTCGACATGGTAATGAACCTTCAGATTCCATAAAATGTTGGGGAATTCAAATTAGTGAGTGACTGGCAGCTTCTGAAGGACTCAGCTTGATGGAGTCACCACTCTTAGGTGTACATATTTTCCTGAGGAGTTTGGTTTCATGTAGCTGAGTACTGTCTGTTATGGAAGTGTAAGAACTATTATCTATTCAGCAATTAACAATGGTTTATGTGCCATTTCAAATGCACTTTATTTTAAACAAGAAAGATTTGGGAAACCTACTATAGAAGTTTAAGCATCAGGTGTATTATTTTCTTTATTGTCATCCATAAATGGTAAATAAATTAGAATTAATTTGAAATTGGAATGATATGAACACACACCTATATATTACATTATCTATTACAACCATTGGAAAAAAACTACCGCCAACTTATGCCTTTTTAAGCTGGGAGGGCGGGCTCCGAATGCAAAAGAACAGAGTAGTTTTATTTTCATTTCTTCAGTACACTGGACAAAATTGTAAAGTTAGAGAGAACATTCATAAACACATTTCAATAAAAAATATACAAATGAAGTATTCATGTCATATCAAGCAATAGGTTCAGGGCAAAACTTTATGATACATACACAAGTCACAAGTGTAACAAGATACAAGTTTTTGTCCCGCAATTTCTGGCGATTACCATGCTTTGCTCCTAACGAAAGGAGTTACAAAATGAGTAGGCCTTCCTGGAAAAAACTCTACTTCAGTCGAATTCTAATGTTTATAGTGATCATGGTGACAGAATTGTGTTGAAAAGATTGCTACTGTCAATGAAGAAACACGTTACTTTTAAGTTTATGGCATATGGAAATTAAAGTTAATATATTGATTTCATACTCTTTATACGGAGTAGCCACTTTCGTCAATCGTGGCAAAATATTATATGGTATTCGTGTAATTTTGCCAGACAATATCAACAATACATTACGGTACACTGGGTATATTGCATGCCCTGCGCCCTGGTGACAAATAATCGATTTTCCAGGACCATTTTATATATTCGGTTGGCATCGGTTGTTTACACATGAAAATAAATACGAATAGTCGACTTTATTTAAGATGGGGTCTGAGTGAGTATTGTGGGAATGTAAGTTTTTCTTTATCGTCATGTATTTTCTGGTTGATTTGAGCCATACTGCTTCCGATGAGTGTGATTCCCAAACTCCGTTAATTTAATCACAGCCGCAAAATGATTCATAGGTAGGGAAAGAACCAGAATTCGTAGGAAACTATTCTGATAGGGGCTTAAATGGCTCAAATCGTTAACCAGTCATACTCTGCGAGCCGCAAAATGATTCTTAAGGTAGGGAAACAACCAGAATTCGTAGGAAACTATTCTGGTAGGGCTTAAATCGTTAACCAGTCATACTATTGTATTGTACTTTTGTTGAATTTATTTTAATTCATTGTATTTTCGCTAATATTATAATTTATAACATGTGAAATGCCGTACATCAATGCAATCTGATCTATAGGATGAATAAACATGAAAAAACGAACTCTGCGAGCACTTAGTTGACTTACACGGCCTTACTGGAAATCGTTGCCAGTCTTTATATAAGTTATTATACCAGACAATCTGAAATACATAGTATTGTAAGAATAACATAAACTAGACATATTGCGAATCGAAACTGCTTGCAAAGTGTGCTTGTTTATGAAGACATTACCATTTAAGATTTAGTTTTATCGAATTAACTCTGGGCATGGTTACCATCAAACTTCCTGTGTGAAGTATGTACCAGGACATGCATTTCCATAGTATGATTTTAGCAGTTTTCTTGTCATTATATATATTTTCCCATTCTTGAAACATTATTTGCCACTGATCATTCAAAATTCTTGTAAAATCCTAGTTTATGGAGGCACTGTGCAGTGATTAGACCATCTGTTAACATTTTGCTGTTAGCAAGCACACAAACTCTTGTAACTTAATTATGTCATTACTGGTCAGCAAGTTTGAGATACTTATATGGTTAACAGGTATAACAGAAATCCTTTTAACCATACTCAGCCAAACCCAGACCCGCAACAAATATGAAAAGAAAATCATGTGAAGAAAGTTACTGGGCAGATCTGTGGGCTGTGGACAAGATAGCCCTATTTTGTGTTGGTGCTTGTATGCATCATTTCAGGTTAGGACTAAATGATGTAAGCATTGTGTTTCTAAATTTCAGGTGTCCACTGTGGACAAAAAGGCACAAGTGACCATTAATGATGAGTCACTTCTGTGACTTAACAGTAATCAGTTTTTACAGTGCAGAATGAATGTGATCAAAGTAGAACCAGAATCAGACCCTGAGACACAGGAACCATACAGTGAATTCCAGTTCATTGATGTGCACCAGAAATTTCTCTCGGTACCAATGCCCTTTACTGAAATGAAGTCTGAAATTAAGGTGAGTGGAATATTCAAGAATGAGATTGGGATCTGTTCAATGCAGTCATGTTGTTGCAAGAAACATTTGTTGGTTATGACTTATTTTTTACTCTGATAATTTAGTGTTTTATTATAAATATATTTTATTGTCATATTGTGTGTGTGAAATCTATTTTTACGTCATCACAACAGTTAGTGGTGCTACCAGGTAGCGTAGTTGGTTGAGGCACTATGCTACAAGCTGGAAGGTCGTGGGTTCAAGTCCTGATGAGGTGGAATTTTTCGATTTACCCAATCCTTCCAGCTGCACTATGGACCTGGAGTCAACTCAGTCTCTAGCAGAAATGAGTACCAGGGATCTTCCTGGGGCATAAAGGGCGGCCGGTGCATAAGGCTGACAACTTCACTGCCATCTGTGAGCAGATTGTCTAGAAATTGTGGGAGCCTCGACATGTCGCAACCCAAAGGGCCTGCACGACATGTTACACTGATAGCTTCACTTTTTACCTTTACCACAATAGGTAGTATGGACACACCATGCATTTGTCATTTCTTACAACATGTTTTAGCTCATTAAGCCATCACCAGGTATTTGACTTTTTTTTTTAATTTGCTTAGTGGGGGGTGGAGTCCAACTGGGTCCACTCGACATGATGGCCACTGAGTGGCCTATTGTAGCATGCCCTGGGTGATTATGATGATGGAGAATTTGGTGGAATGAAGATTGGCAGGGGAAACTGAAGTACTCGGAGAAAACCCGCCCCAGCGGCACTTTGTCCACGACAAATCCCACTTGACCAGACGTGGAATCGAACCCGGGTCACCGTGGTGGGAAGCCAGCAACTAACTGCTTGAGCTATGGCGCGGCCATGTATTTGACTTTACTGGCCAACATAGGAATACTAGCAGACAAATACAGGTGCATGTAAAAAATTCAAATACCAGATAATGGCTTAGTGAGCCAAAGCATGTTGTAAGAAATGAGGAATGTATGGTGTGCACATATGTACTACCTATTGTGGTGATGGAATAAAATAAAGAAATAGTATGCTTGGTATATAGAAGTTTTACTTTGAGAGAATGATACCCTATAATACACTCAACTCTCAATTATCTGGGATAATGGTGGGGATGGAAATCACGATTAATCGAAAGCCCAGTTAAGACAAATTTTATTAAAAGTAGTACTGTAATACTGTACCTTCATAATACTAATATTAATATTCAGAATTAACTTGACTTCTCATATATCATGTACAATGATCTACAGTGACGAAATAAATCAATCAATCAATACTATAGGCCTACCTGTATTTCAATTTATTCAACCTCATTTTTATGTCATCTCATGGCCTATTTAATACTTTTTTTACATTACACTGAAGTATGAATTAGTTATTTCAATCACAGTGTTCAACAACATCCAACACTTTTTACGAATATTCACACTTAACACTTAAAAAAATTTAATATTGTCTTTTGCTTTTTCGCGGCATTTTCCTTTCTACGGATATCTGTACGAAGCCTACGTAATATTAGCTTGTCACTTAATAAACTGTTCTCTTCACTCTCAAGATAGTCTAGTAAGGATTCCAAATGATTAAGAGCAGCACCATGTGATATTTTCTTACTAGCAGCACTGTCCATCTCTTCCTCATTCTCACTTTCTTCCCACTCTTCTGGCTGCACCCCCACTGAACTTAGATTTCGTCACTGCTTAACATTTTGAAGTCTGGCTCACACGAGTTTCTGCTGAATACTTAACACAACACGCTTCCTTTTACACCCTGAGTTATGCTTAATTGTTGAAGCTGTTTACTCTGATTTCTTTACTGTGAACTTCAGCAGACTACTAATGTACTGGCAAAATTGAGTGAACAGGGAGATAAGGCAGCAACAGAGCAGCTGGAAGTAAAATTATTAAATCTTAATAATTCAATTTTAGATAAAAGAGGGTTTAATTATATATATATATAAGTAAAAAAAAGTAAAGCTACCCTTGTAACAGGCCATGGAGGCCCATAGAGTTGTGAGATGTTGAGGGTCCCACATTATCTAGACAATCGGCTCAAGGATGGCAGTAAGGTTGTCAGCCTTACGCGCTGGCTGCGCTTGTACATATATAAAAATAGTGGTTGGCCTTGAGTCTCAGACTTTGGGGTTAGAGGCAAACCTATTTGTCACACTAAAATGTGTCTTCTCTTTAATTCAAAATCTGTTAATTTGAAATCACCATTTTTCATTATGTCAGTTCTGTGTTGAAGAGGTTCTGTTTAGGAACATTGTATTGTAGAGTGGTAAAAAGTTGTTTTTTATTAGGTGACAAAGAAGACACCTGATTCTATAAAATTGAAACTGTTTCCACAGACCCTGAAGATTGAGACCGACTCAGATAGTGATGCACTTCACTCTTACAGTGAACCTGAGGTTACAGGTTTGAAAGACAAGCATTTGCTACATCCATCCATTTACAGCATATGGAAATATGATATTCAGGTTAGATTCTGTTTATTTGCAATTCCCTGTGAGTACTGAGCTATCCCAGTCTATAACTTGCACATTTTTAACGAAATGCCAGTCTCAAGACTGCTGTATAGGAGTTTCTTGAGCATGCAGGGAATAATGTAAAAATTATATATAATAGGTAGAAGCCTGTTTATCATCTGTTTTCTGTCCTTATGCATGTTAGAAAGTATATACAAATAGGGCAGAAGTTGGTACCAGTATGATTGAATTGGTTTTTCAGTGTCCACCTTTTCTGAGAAAAAAATCAGCTGTAAATAGAAGCAGCTATTTTATTTGTTTATTTATTTATTTATTTACATTTATACATTCCGTTGATCCTTATGGTACAGCTGACCAGTGGATATGGATTTTGTCCCAAGCTAATAGATTAAAATACACAAAATACAAAAACTACATACATACTTTTGTCATTAAGACAGTTAAAAGATTTATATTAAAGTACAATGCATAAAATGATCAAAATTATAAAACAATAATTGATACAAAATACTTAGGTAATGATATAAAATTATAACATATCAGGGGTACAATTACCAATTTTAATTACATACATGGTTAAAATATTCCTCTAAGGAATAAAAAGAATTTGAAAGAAAAAATCTTTTTAGCCTCAATTTAAATAGTTTCACATCATTACTCATACTCTTGATTCTGGATGGCAGGTGGTTATAAGCCTTAATACCAAAATAATATGGTCCTTTCTGAAAGATTGTTAGGCGTGATGTGGGAAGGTGCAAATTTGTGGTATGTCTAGTATTGAGATTGTGGGTCTCATAGTTTGAACTGTATAGGTCTCTATTATTTACAACAAACAGAATTATAGAGTATATATACTGTGAGTACATTGGTAATATTTTTAGGTTTTTGAATAGTTCCCTACATGAGTCTCTAGTTCTTACATTCATAATAGTTCTAATGATCCGCTTTTGCATTCTGAAAACATTTATACTAGTTGCTGAGCTACCCCAGAAAATTATCCCATATTCCATGATAGTATGCACATAGGCAAAGTAGATCATCCTTAGGGTTTCCTGTGACATGAGACCTCTTACAGTTCTAATTGCATAGCAAGCTGCACTCATTTTAATTACTAATTTATCAATATGAGACTTCCATGATAATGTTTCATCAATATAAATACCTAGAAACTTAATATTTGGCACATTAGTGATATTCTTATTTTGATGATATATGCTTATGTCTGTTACCAAACTATTTTTAGTCCTGAACAGGAGATGGTGGGTTTTATTAAAATTTAAGGATAGCAGGTTAGCTTCAAACCATTTGTTTATGGCTAAGAATTGTTTATTCATATTAATTTCCAAATTATGAGGGCTCGAATCGGATATTATGATACTAGTATCGTCAGCGAATAAAATAATCTTCGCATTATTTGTTATTACTTTGGGTAAGTCATTAATATACAATAAGAAAAATAAAGGACCTAATATAGAGCCTTGTGGGACACCATATTTGATGATCTCCCAATCAGAAAAGGTGGTATTATAGGTTGTCCTATTATTTAATACTACCTTTTGGTATCTATTGTTCAAATAAGACTTGATTAATTTTTTAAATACTCCATTTATCCCATAGTATCCCAGTTTATTTAAAAATATTTCGTGGTTAACACAGTCAAATGCTTTCTTCAGGTCACAGAAAATGCCCCCAATAGTTAATTTATTGTTCATGGCTACTAAAATTTCATTTAATAATTTAAAAGAGGCCCTATTTGTTGTAGAGTTTTTTCTAAATCCATATTGATCACTAGCAAGTATCTTATTTTGTATTAGATGCTGGTTAAGCCTTGAATATATTACCTTTTCAAATACCTTAGAGAAAGCCGGTAACAAAGATATTGGTCTATAGTTAGAGATGTTAAGTTTATCCCCACTTTTAAATACTGGTTTTACTATTGAAAATTTCAGTCTAGTTGGGTAAATTCCTGAAGAAAGAGATTTATTTACAATATATGTTAGCGGAGAACTAATAAATAGGGCACTAGCTTTCAATATTGCGACAGGTATCTCATCATAACCATGGGAGTATTTGGCTTTTAAGGATTTGATGATTCCTTCTATCTCATGGGTAGAGGCATGCTTAGGTCGAATATTTGACAGCGGACTCGTGAACATTGAGGACATATAATTTAAATAGTTATCATGCATAGGCTGTCCAGTTTTACTAATACTTGTATTATCAATAATATCCTCAGCAACTGTTACAAAATAATCATTAAGATTTTTTGCCATGATTTGTTGGTCGGAAGTTATAATACCCTTAATATCAAGGGATTGAATGTCTACTTTATCTTCTTTTTTCCCAGTTTCAGTTTTGATTATGTTCCAAATAGTTTTTGATTTATTTTTAGAGTCTATAATCCTCCTGTCGTAGTGAATTTTTTTAGCCGCTTTGATGACATTAGTTAGAATTTTGCAGTATTGTTTGTAATGTTCTTTTAATTTAATATCATTACTAGTCCTACACTGTAAATAAAGATTTCTTTTGTTTCTACATGAAATACGTATTCCTGTAGTTAACCATTCATGAACATTTGGTTTGCTCTTTATTTTTCTTCTCGTAAAACTGGAGTAGAAAATCCTAAGATAGGTATTGAGAAAATTATTAAACATTATATTTACGTCAGTTGCTTCAAAAATATCTTCCCACATCTCAAAGCTCAGTTTGAGCTTAAAATTAGCTATAGAGTGTTTATTGAAATTCCTTATGATTTGGGTGGTATTATTTAATCCTTGTATATTGAGATTTTTAAACTTAATAATTTGGGCGTCATGGTCCGATAGGCCGTTAATATGGTGATATTAGGATGTTACTATACACATAACTGTATTTCCATGTAATGTTTCAAATTACTGGAATAGTACACAAGATTCATAATATACTGATAATTCTGCCTTGAAATGATTTGAAGAGTTTAAACTTTTTCTAAATATTGTGGCATGCCACCAGAAAGCCAGAATGGTTGAGGAGATCAGAGTTGATTTCCTAGGCAACGACCAACGTTCCCATGACAGTGGCTAGGAATGATTGAGATCAGAGTTTATTTCCTAGGCAATGACCATCGTTCCCACGACAGCGGCTAGGAATCAGAACATTAGCAATTCCTAACAGTGGAATTTCCACCGTTACACACGAATTGTTGAAGCAACGTTTCGATAACAGCAAGCAGAATGAATCCTTTGAAATAGTTTTCCCTATCAAGTCCTTGTGGAAGTTATAAGAGTCCAACTGCGACAAGAGACGAGTTCAGTTTGCATTTGACCTTAGAAGAGTAGTCAGTCTTCAGTTTGGCTTCAACTATAGCAGAAGCAGTAATTGTGATACTGAAATTGTGAATAATTGCACTTGTAAGTGTAAAAGTGAGAACCCAATATACATAGTAGCTCAAATCCGGAAACCCACATGAATTATTGTCACGTTACATAGGAAACACACAGCGGTATGTTTGACCTAAAAGAATTTGATTTCAAAATGTAGCTATGAAATTAATAAATAAATATGTTACTTTAACCATTGGAAAGTGAGTGGTTCTTTGATTATTTAACTCTTTGTATGCCACAAACCAGATAAATTTGTTCAGGGTACTTGCATTAGAAATACCACACCCAGAAATGAACTTATTTATCAATCAGTACATTATATCTTTCAGTGTGGCCTACCACTGTTAGAGGAAAGAACAAGCTTTCACAATGTCTCATCCTGTGGTCATTTGAGGAAGTATTGTGAGTTTTTCTGTGCAACTCTTTTCACCCCCAGGCAGTCTTAGTGTTTCCAACAAGTACTGTGGCAGGGCTTAGCAGCCGAAGGATTATAATGAATGATGTTATAAAATATACTGGAATTTGCATAAAGGGACTGCAGAAAACCACGAAAGACTTCATTCAGGGTGGTTGGCCGCTGAACTGTAATTGAAACATGGTCTTTTCAAGTACAAAGCAGGATGTTCATTGCCGTGTGAAAATGAAAGACATTAATTAATAGTAATTAATAGTAATTAATAGTAATTGTTCATTAAAAGAAGACTGTAGTATGAATTTGTATAGAAATGTTTGATTCTTACTCGTCATTTGCTGGTTGAGTGGAATTCAAACATAGTAGCTGAATTGATGGGGCACTAACAGTATTTTCAGTTTTAAATGTAGACTTCTTTACAGACTTATTTAGTCTTCCATATGTTTCTAGAATTTTGTGTGTGTACTGTATAAAGGATAAAAAATTGTTTGCAGAATTATTTATGTCTTAGAAATAACACTGATTTCTTTTCTTAGATGAAAGACATATTGGAAACACACAGACAGATGCCCAGTCAGCAGTCATTATATTGTGAATCCATGAATGAAAATGAATGGTTTTTACACAGTAAAAGAGAGAAATTTAAGGAACTGATGAAAGAAAGGAGAAGAAATGAATCACCAGAGCAAAGGCAGAAGCGTTTAAACCAAATGAAAGAGTACGCAAAACATCGGCGAGCAAACGAGAGTCCTGAGGAGCGACAGAAGCGCCTCTTTCAGATGAATATGTATGCCAGACAACGAAGAGCAAACGAAAGTCTAAATCAACGTATAAAACGACTCACTCAAATGAATAATTATGAAAAACAAAGAAGATCAAATGAGACCCCTGAACAGCATGAAGAACGAAAGCGCAGACGGAGAGAAATAGAAAGTTTGAGAAGAAACAATGAGACGCCAGAGGAACGACAAAAGCGTCTCATCCAAATGACTAAGTATGCAAAAGAGCGAAGAGCAGCTGAAAGTCTTCGGCGAAGTGAAAGGCAGCTAAGTCAGATTAATAATTACGCAAAACATGGAAGACTAAGTGAAACTCTTGAACAAAAGGAAGATCAAAACAGACAGCAACAAAAGGAAGTACTGCAGGAAACAGATGATTTTCAAGATCAGCAAGGAAACTGATGGAGACAAGGAGAAAGAGATGCAGAGAGAAGAGGAGATGATACTCTAACATTACGTGAAGAGAACTGTGTACAAGATGGAGGACTCAGTAAGTTGCAAAGAACATGTGAAACTGTGGAACAGATACGAGCTGAATGTATATGGGAACAAGATGACTGGTGTAGAAGACAAAACGCCAAGGTTATATAAAACAAATGAACCTCCAGAGCTGTATAAGGACATACAAAATTAAGAAAACGATGTAAAAAGAAGAACATTGTAGACAACAAGAAATGTTTGCTCTACATAGAATAAATATGACTCAAGAATGAAAAGATGTAAATATTGTGTAATATAAACTGAATGAAACTTTAGAATATCTTCACAAGTGATATGCATTATGACAGAAAATTGTGAGATAAACTAAAATAAAATTAAGAGCAGTACAGATGTAAAGTATTATGAACTACGAATTGAATATGCAGTTGGATCTGTGAGTCTCACAGCAGAGAAAGTTAAGATTATCTTCTTGGATGTAATGCCATAGTCTGGTGGAAGTCTACTGACGTTTTGGAGGAATGTGCTGCCTCCATCTTCAGGGTTGAAGAATAAACAAAGTAAGAAAACAGCAAGAAGCAGGTGGCAGGCGGAGCTTTGTGCTGGTTTCTTGCTTGACTTACTGTTCAACTGTGAAGATGAAGGCAGTGTGTACCCCCAGAATGTCGGTGAACTGCTTCTGGATTACATGTTGTTGCATCCCAGAAGATAGTGCTCTCTTTAAAAGTAAGTTGATGCAGAAGTTGCTTCTTCTGAATTCAAAAATGATAATTGTACAAATTGATGAAAAATGATTGAAATATTATCTTCAATTTTAAAAGTTTTCAGTTTTCATAATAAATTGTAGTGAGAACTTTTATATTCTGTTAGTGATATGTTGTAGGTACCATATAGGAATGAACCTGAATTATTAAAACAGTGTTATTCCTCTGTGGTCTAGTGGTCAGAGTTCCTGGCCATAGATCCAGAGGTCCCAGGTTTGATTCCTGGCACTACCAGATTTTCTGAGAAGAAGTGGGTCTGGAACAGGGTCCACTCAGCCTCATGAGGATAATTGAGGAGGTACGTGAATGGGAAAGTAGCAACTCCAGTCTAGAAAACCAAGATTAACAGCTGTGGGGATTCGTTGCGCTGACCACGTGACACCATCTATCTGCTAAAGTTGACACTAACTTTGCCGACAAACCACGGAGTTCGTTCGTTTGTTTGTTTTTTTGTTATCCCTTATAATAATGGAAAAATAATATTAAAACCTTTAAAGCCAGAAATTAGGCTGGGAAATACCAAGAGTTGGATCCTGTTAAATGACAAATTGGTCTCAAAAAATGCTTTATGAAAGTGTTGTTAATATATGTATTAAGTCCACAGAATAGGGCTGTAATGATTGTCTGTTACATTTATATTACACCCACTGGGTTTCTTGACTTTTTCATCTCCTTGCAAGGAACTTTCCTGACTTTTGATCAGGATGGAAATGTTCAGTTTCTGAGACATGTTCTGTTCAGAGTACCCAGAAGATTGACACAGTCCAGAAACCTAGTAATATTAATTACACAGAAACTTCTGTGTTTTAAAAACTCTGGAAGGATCATGTTGAATTTCAGCTTCTCATGGGCATGACTGAAGAGTACCAACTTCTGGGAAGTGATGCTAGGTAGTGTGGTAGAAGTTTACTGATATTTTGGATGAACGTACTGCCTCTACCCTCAGGATTGAAGAGTAAGCCAAGCAGTGAACCATCAAGGATTATGCTTCGACTCTGAAGATGAAGGCAGTGCATTCATCTGAAATATGAGTAAATTACTAGTCTGCATGCCATCACATCCCATAAGATAGTACTTTTCTGAAAATATCAAATTGTAAATTAAAGTGGCTTTTCAGTGAGTGTATTTCTTTGTTTTATTCTCTGCTCTGTATTGATACATTATCATCAGTTGGGATGGTCATAGCCAATAAATTTTGGTGCTTCGACACATGCATACTTGACTGAAGCTGTGAAATCATGAGCGGGTCTGTACATGTTTTTATTATTGATTGTTATACAGGCTGCATTGTGATGATCTTGTCTTCATGGGGGCAGCAGAACATTTGTTCATGTAATTGTACAGCTAAGCCATTTCAGATTATTTGTAATGTCACCCTAAAGTATTTAGGATAGAAGAATATTTTGTAAATAATTTATATTGTTGATGTTTGGCATACTTTCTTCTTTTACTAAATGTTGTTTCTTCCCCCAGAAATCCAGTTTATGGGAAGATGACTTTTCTCCACCAAGCCAGTGCTCATATATGCCTTGATCATCATCCTGTGTGGAAGAGGCTGATAATAGCCTTAGGAAGTAATTTCAGAAGACTTGAGTCGGCCAGTATATTTAATCCACTGATGATGATTTATCCTTGTTCTTTCACTCTGACATTCTGGTTCAAAGGAACGTGCATGAAACGTAGGATACTGGAGACACATATCACACTGAATTGTATTTTGATAACAAGAACAAGTAAATTAAATATGACAGTGTTGCAATAACCATGCAACCATTTAGGAAAGTTGGATTAATAGACTGAAAACATAGCTCTTTAATGCAAAATTATTGAATGCTCTGTTGGGTGTGGGAGAGGAGAAGGCAAGGTTGGATAAAAATTTGCCTTATTATTGAGCATTGAGCTCTTTGCAGTTGCTCAGTGACATCATATGACAAAATAGGCATAGCACTGGGATTGTTTCAAATAAGTGACTGCGACGTCTTTGAGAATACTTAGAGCTACATGCTTGTACAGGGTGCAAGTAACTGCAGCAGAAGTGAGTTTATATGTCGTTAATGCAATTTTGAGTAATCCATTTGCTTTTTTACGTTACATACAATTTGTATTGTGTGTTTAGTGATACAGCTGGTCATGGTAGCCGAGCGGTGTAAGGTCTTCGCTTGCTCGGAAGCCGGAATCATGGGTTCGAATCCAAGTCAAGGTATGAATGTGTGGTGCGAGCGAGCGCGCATTATTCTGTGTTTGTGTTGTCCTGTGTTTAGGTACAGGCCTTGCGATGAGCTGATCACCCGTCCAAGGAGTCCTGCCGTCTGTAAAATGATCAAGAAACTGAGAAGCCAGCACTATGCTCCATGAAACTAGTTAGGTTGATAAAAATGTGTTTAAACGAAACATACACGAATATTAAAGTCTGTGTAGGTAAACATTTGTCTGATAAATTTCCTATCCAGAATGGTCTAAAACAAAGAGATGCTTTATCGCCACTATTTCTCAACTTTGCCTTAGAATATGCCATTAAGAAGGTCCAGGGGAAACCAGGTGGGACTGAAATGAAACGGGACACATAAGCTGTCGGTCTACGCCGATGATGTGAATAAAATGGTTGATAATATAGTACCATAAAGAAAAACACACAAACTTTAAGTGGTGCAAGTAGAAAATGTGGTCTAGAAGTAAACACAGAGAAAACTAGGTATATATTGCTGTCTCATGACATAAAGATAGGAAACATGTTTTGAAAATGTGGCACAGTTCAGATATTTGGGAACAACGAAAACAGATCGAAACCTGGTTCAGGAGGAAATTAAGAGGAGGTTGAACTCGGGTAATGCTTGCTACCATTCAGTCCAGAACCTTTTGTCTTCTCTTCTGCCGCCCAAAAAAACATAAAAATTAGGATATACCAAACTATAATTTTGCCTATGGTTCTGTATGGGTATGAAACTTGGTCTCTGACATTAAGGAACATACGTAGATGTTCGTAGAATGAGGGTGCTTGAGAACAGGGTGTTGATAATATTTGGACCGAAAAGAGATGAAGTGACAGGAGGTTGGAGAAGACTGCATATCGAGGCGCTTCATAACTTTTACTCCTCTCCAAATATAATTAGAATGATCAAGTCAAAGAGGATAAAGTGGGAAGGTCATGTAGCACAAAAGGGGGAGATGAATGTGTATAGGATATTGGTGGGAAAGTCAGAAGGAAAGAGACCAGTGGGAAGACCAAGGCGTAGTTGGGTGGACAATATTAAAATGGATCTTAGAGAGATAGGATGGATTGGATAGATCTGGCTCAGGATAGGGACCAGTGGAGGGCTCTTGTGAACATGGTAATGAACCTTCGGGTTCCATAAAATTCTGGAATTTTCATGAGTAGCAGCAGAATTGGCGGATCCTCCAGAAGGGCTCAGCTCCATGAGTGAGTGAGTAAGTAAGTAGGTAAGTAAGTAAGTAATGCATTTTCTCACTGCAAAATGCTGGTGGTGAATTACGCGGCGGCCACGAGATAGCTTCAGAAATGAAGCGAGAGACTAGGGAAATTTCTTTCGTGTACCCGGATAGTAGGATATTGTAGGAGTTATTTGAGTGATCAAATTGATTTTGGTTCAGAAATTTTTCATACTTGCAGCAAGTAACCGGAATTGAATTCGAAGTCATAATTGTGATTTTATTCGCACTCGTTCAATGAATGTCTTCCAGTAAAGAAGGAAAGCTTATCAAGAATGAATGCATTTGAAGCCTAAATAGGAATTACAAACGCACTATCTACGATATACGCAGTAATTAACTCGCAATCCGTGTTACTGAGATCGAAGTTTAAAGTAATCTCGCTCTGCTAATTGAAAAGGTGATTCAAAAGCATTTTCGTGTAATAATTGTGATACTTATTACAAAGACTCTTATGATTCTGATTGTTGCCGTTGGTTCACAATTACCTACCAGTGTGCGCTACAAAGGACTGGTTGGGAGCAGGAAATTAAGGAAAAGTCATAATAGCGACGTTATTCTCACTCTTCACTGAATATTGACAATAAAACAAGTTTACCATAATATCAAGAACGAAAGAATATGAAGCCTAAATAAAAATTACTAACCCAATAAGAACGATATATCCACTAATTAACTTACAAACCATTTAATCGTACTTAAACCATCCAGATTACTGAGATCTCGATGTCCTAGGTAAGAATGTGAATTCAAAAGAATTTCCCTGTAATCATCGTGATATTTATTACAAAAGTTTTATGACGTTAATTCTCTAAANTACAAACCATTTAATCGTACTTAAACCATCCAGATTACTGAGATCGAGTTTAAAGTAATCTCGATGGCCTAGGTAAGAATGTGAATTCAAAAGCATTTCCCTGTAATCATCGTGATATTTATTACAACAGTTTTATGAGGTTAATTCTCTAACTTTTTATTAAGTTACTGTTTTGATACTGATAGTTGCTGTTATTTCACGATTACCTACCAGAGGACACCAGTGTTTAGCTTTGGGGAGCTAGATGTTGCTAATAGTTACGCACTCTACCACCAGATTGCACCACACTACAATTCTGGTAGGTGAGGGTGATGCATAGCGTCGCAAGTCCCAACCGTCCCAACTTAGAGAGGATTGCGAATTTCACAGCTCGTGTAGTAGACCGGAAGATGCAATATTTGGAGAGTAAA